CCCCAAGCACCGGAACGACGCTGCTCGGTGCGCACGGAGGGCACTGCTTCTTAGCGTGAGCTGCTCGTGAGGGAGCGTCCCCTTGCCCACGGTACACGGATGCACTCGGCGTGCTCGGGGATGTAACACGCATGTCCAGCCGTGCGTTGCGGCCCTGCCGAGGGACACGGCGGGCCCCCCAGGTGCGCCCTGAGGCAGCTGGTTGGGCAGGCCCGCCTCGGGGACCCGCCGCGGCCCACGCAGTGGCGGCAGGCACGGTGAGAGCCCCGGACTCGGACTCCGAGGGGAACCCTCCCTTGTGCTGTGGCTCAGGGGCGGGGACGACGACGGCACGTCTCAGGGAACAGCCGCCCGCCCACCGCTCCGCGGACCTGGAGGGAGCAGCGTAGCCCCAAACACGCTGTGGCGACGCGGCGTCCGTGGCGCTCGAGCCGGCGTCTCGGCACTGCAGGTGCGGGCAGTGCCGACCGTGTGGCTCTGTGGTTCCAGGGAGCGGCGTGGCCGAGGGGGCGTCCTGGGAGTCGGGACGGCGTCGCTGCTGCGTCTCAGCGGGACGGGCAGCCTCGCGTCTGTGGGGGCTCTGCCTGGGCCTCTCAGGAGCCTTGGGCGCAGTGGCAGGGTGGGGGGGGGGGGCTCCTGCCTCCCCATTGGACTCAGGGAGACCCCCGGCCCTGCTTCACCGACAGCACCCCGAGGCCGCCGTCCGTAGCTCAGGGAAGAGCAGGCTCCCGGCCAGGCCCCGGAGGGCGGAGCCCTCACACCGCAGCCTGGGGATGGCGGCCTCGCCATTGCCAACCGCGGCGGGGCCACAGTGCACCGGGGCTGGGTGGGGCTGTCCCCGTGGTCGTCCCCAGGCCCACGCCCCCCGGGGCCACCCTGGGCCCGTGCCAGCCGCGGGGGGGACTGGCGTGCAGGCAGCTGGTCACCCTCCCCGCAGGGACCCTGGCTGGGGCCCTGGCTCCCCGTGGGCGGTGACGGGTTCGCGGTGTTCAGGTTCGCGGCGGGCGCTGCCCGGCGGTGGTCACATTGACTCCGTTTCCTTCACGTGCTTTTGAGAAATGACCGAGCTCAAACGCTGTTTCTGCTGAGGCGTGGCTGGCACCGTGACGGTCACCGAGTCCCTCCAGGGGACCTGCTGCAGGTGTTTTTGCAGAGGGAGCAGGGGAGGGGACAGAGGGAGCAGCTGGCGGCTGACATCTGCCCACACTCCCAGCGACCAAAGGACCAAACGCCTTCGGGGACAGCCTGTGGGGTGGAGACGCTGAGCTCCGACATCCGCTTTGACCCTGGAGCCGGTGGGGAGGGCGGAGCCCCCGCTGTGTGTCCTCTGTCACCGGGGTGACGAGTGCAGCTGCTCTGTGGCCTCAGGTGACTCTCGTTAACACCCTCCAGGACACTTTGATCCCAGGGACGCAGCCCCCCCCCCGCCGCTCTGGGGAGGAGCGTTTCCAGGGGCTCCGGGGGCTGTCCCCAGATGCAAGCCGGACCGGGGGAGCCTGTGAGCCTGGAGGCTGTGCCCGGGGCTGGGGTCCAGGCGAGCGGGAGCCATGGGCCAGGGCTGCGGGCTGCTGGCCTCGGCGCTGGCCCTGCTGACGCTGCTGCCGTCCGCCCCCGGGAGCCGCTCGGAGGGAGGTAAGGGGCTCTCACCGGGATCTGGTGGTTTCCTTCCGTTCCTGCCCCCGTGCGACTGGTGACAGATGTGCCCGGCCCCGCGCCCCGGATGGCCCAGCGGCGGGCCGGGGAGGGTGGGGGCGGCGTCCAGAGAGCGGAGCACCCGGCCGTGCGCAGGGTCCTGCAGAGGGGGGGGCCCTGGAAGTGACTGGCACCTCTGCTTCCTGGGAAACCAGGGTCAGGTGTGTGCAGCTGCTCCTCACGCGCTGAGGTCTGGGGGGCTGGGGGTGCGCCTGCCGGGTGCGTGCCCAGGTGAGCTCCGTTTGGAGCGGCCGGAACCGGGCCTGTCCCGAGGGCTGCGCCCGGGGCCCGTTTCCCACGGGGACGAGCCGTTGAGTTGCTCTGCTCTGTCTGAGCCACGGGTGTGACCCCCCACACACACCCCAAACCCCTGCGACACCGGGAGGCCAGGCCCGGGGGTCCCTGCCTCAGGAAGATGCACCTCAGCGCCTCCCTTCCACCTGGGGCTGAGCGTGGGGTGCCCACAGGCCCTCAGCGTCCTGCCCAGCGCTGCCCTGCTCCAGAACATTCCGCAGTGACGGGCGTCCTGCGTCCACGCCCAGAGCCCTCAGCACTGCGCTGATGCGATGAGAAGCTACCCCTGACCCCTGACCTTTACTTACCTGGGTTTGAACATGGGCAGCCCCCCGCGGCCACAGCCGGCTCGTGGGACAGGCGGGGACTGTCTCAGCCGCGTCCCCTCCTTGCTGCTCCTTGCTGTCCTCTGGCATCCTGTGTGGCCTCCGCACCCTTCAGTGCAGGGTGGTGTTGGGCGCCTTCGTCCGGTCCCGCCGGGAAGGAGAAGGTGGAGCGGGCGGTCATCCCCCTCTGGCCCTCGGGGCGGGGGCAGCGTGGGCGGGGGGCTCTGAGCCGGGCTTCCCACTCGACAGGCGGGTGACAAATGCCCTTCCTCCCGGTGGGAGGCCGCCGCCACCTCTGGGGGGCGCCGTTTGCAGTGGGTCCTCCCTGCGGGCAGAGGGACGTTTAAAAGCACGTCACCAGTGGGGCGAAAGCACACGTGCCCTCAAGTTGCTGGGATTCACCCGCAGCACCCACAGCAGGAGGGAACCAGGGGCCGGGGTGCCTGTGGGGGGCTGCATGATGGCGGGGACCGGGGGTCAGACCCAACGGCCCGTGTTAACCCCCCCGGGGGCTCAGGCTCTGGTGAGGCGCCGTCCTGGGAGGTGGTGACGCCTGGGAAACAGGGTCACACACACTTGCCTGGGCCCCAAGCGCCCCGCGGGCTCCTCGGCCACCTCCCCGGACCTTCCAAGCACCCCAGGCCCTCCCCCGGGAGCCAGCCTCCCCTCCCCCCCGTCTCCCCCCCTCCCCCTGTGGTCATCGGGGTGCCCCTCCTGATTCACCCCAGGCCGGAGCCGAGGGGGTGGCTGCAGCACGATGCCCGATGAGACGGGGGCGGGGAGGGGCAGCGGCTGCCCTTCGCTGCGGTGAGCAGCCTGGAGCGGCCTGGGCCGCGGTGCCGGCGTCCTCCCTGGCTGGCCCCCCTCAGGGTCCCCGCCGGCCCCTGGGTGGGTGCCCCCCGGGCAGACGCCTGGCCCCACGTCCAGCGTGTGGGACCAGAGGGGCCTTCCGGGAGGGGCGAGGGGACCGTGTGCTGATGAGGGGTCCGGCGCGGCGTCCCTTTGTCCCGGGGCAGACGACGGCAGCCGGGGCTGCTCCGCGTCCTGTCTTCCAGGCGGTCTCAGAGGAAGCCGGCCGGCCGGCTGTCACGGCCGTGACCTGCCGACCCCAGGGAAGACCTCGACCCCGAGGGCCTGGGAGCCGGCCGGGGGCGCTCCCGTCGGCCGGGAGGGGTGAGCTGCCTGTCCCCGGGGGCTGTGGGCTGACGTGCAGTCCGGGTCCTCCAGCCGTTCCCCCGTCAGGAGGGTGACCCGCCCCGTTCCCTCCGACGGGGGCGGCGCAGGGGGCGGCGTTAGGGGCTGCCCGGGTGGGAGGTGTGTCCTGGGTGTCACCCCACCAGGCCGTGGGGGTCGGGGCCTGCGGTAGGTGGTCACTGGCGAAGGGCACGGTGGGGCTGGCCCGTCCTCGGGGACACGTGCCTCGGCCCGTCACAGAGAGTCCCTGAGGTTTCGCTGGGCGATGCGTGTGGCCCAGGGGGTCCCGCCTGACCTCCCGTGTTCTCATGTTCTGGCCTGTGAGAGACCCGTGTGGCGGCTCAGGGCAGACCCTCTGCCCAGGGGCCGTCCTCACGGCCACAGCCCAGCCTGGAGCCACCGTCTGCCCCTCCCCGTGTGCCCCGGCCCTCCCTGTGTGTGTCCTCGTCGCCCTCTGGTGGCTGCTCCGTGGCCGTCACACCAGAGCCCGGCTCGTGGAAACGGCTTCTCCTGTGCTCAAGGTCAAACACATAGCCAGCCTGCAGCAACCACGGGACGCCGCAGAGCGTCTGGCAGCCGGCTGGCTCACTGTCCGCACTGGCCGTGGGCCCCCAGGTCCTCGGAGAGGAGCTGGTCCTGGCAGTGGCCTCCTCGCCGGGCTGAGGTTGCCCCCGCCCCTGCCTCTGGCTGCCCCTTCCCGCCACGTGTCCCTCTGGCCAGCTGCCCCTGGACATGCCACGCCCCACACGGCGGCTTCTGATGGCCGCTCCTCGGGGGATGGCTGAGACTCCTGGAGCCTGGCCGCTGGGAAGCTGTGTGGTGAGAACGTGATGGCTGGACAGACATCAGGTGGCCGTGGTTTCGGTAAATCTGAGATGTGCCCTGTGCCCAGTGGCGCGTCCCACCAGGACGCGGGCTGCAGCCCCCGGGCCGTCTCCCCGGTGACGCCAGGAGTCAGGAGTCCCCGAGAGCCTCCTGTCTGACGGCACCAAGGGCTGCAGGTGGAGCAGATGATGTAACCGCGGTGAGCCACGGTCAGTGCGCCCCCAGGGCAGGCGGCGACGGCAGACGGCTTTCCTTTCTTTCCCTCGTTCCAGGGGCCCCCGGGAAGCCCCCTTCCAAATCACCAGCTGCTGGAGCAGCGGTGGCCCCGGTCCCCACCGTCACCTGACGTGTGTGGTTGGGGAAGCGGACGGCACCTTCCAGGTGGGTGTGGGGACCCACCTGAGCTGGGGGCGGGGCTGCACGGGGCCCCGCCTCCGCGGGCCGGCTGGCTGAGGACACGCACCAGCGCCGAAGCCGCCGGCCTGTCCTGACCCTCACCGGGGTCTCCGTGAATTCCAGCGCTCCTGTCCCGCGGGCCCCTGCGGCCCAAAGGTGGCGGCCCCCTCCTGTGCCGTGGGACCGCCACGCTCTGCAGGGGACAGGGCCCCCGAGCGGCTTCCCAGAATGGATGTCACCTCGGCCGCTGTCCCCGTGGGGACCCCCGTCACGATGGCCGAGTGTGCTCAGACCAGCACCCCAACGTCGCAGCCGGCCATCTTGCCCGGCAGGTACGCTGAGGGTGGGGTGAGGCCAGGGTCCCCCCGCAAACGCCCTCATCCGGGGCCATGCCCAGAAGCCAGGACCCCACGTCAGAGGCGGTGCAGCGTGGCCACTGCTGTCAGAGCGCACAGCAGGGACACCTCTTGGGGAGACAGCCTTGGAGGTGCTGACGTAGGTCCACAGCCACGGGGGGGCCCCCTCCTGCGGGGACCTGCTTCCTTCCGTCCCCGGCCACGCTGGTGACGCGCCCCCAGGTGTCAGGCTGCCGTGAGAGCTTACGCTCCCGCCCCTCTCCCCGCAGCCCCCGTGGCCCTCCTCCGGGACCTCTCCACGCCCGCGGCCCCCTCGCCTCCCGCCCCGGGGACCAGCGGCTGCAGCCCTGCGCCCAGTGTCACCCCGGACCCCCGCCGGCCCCGGGCCCCGACGGCGCGGCCGGTCCTGCCACCCACCGCTCACCGCAGGCGGCGCTGGGCCTGGGGCTCCGGGTCCAGGTGGCCCCCACGGTGGCTCTCTGCCTGGCGGTGGATTTCGGGGACGGATCGGGGGCTCAGGTGAGGGTCTGCCGCACACCCAGGGACGTGGCCGTCACCGCCTGCCACCAGTACAGCACAGGTACGCGCTCGGGCTCAGTGCCGGGAGCAGACGAGGGTCAACCGGGCGGTGCACAGGGACACTGGGGCAGAGGAGCCCCCGGGGCAGGACTCCGGCCTTCGGACAATGAAGGTCCGGACCGCACCCCGCCTGCCCTCCCTGCACCCTCTCCCCCAGCCCCTCCAGCCCCGGGGAGGGGAGACAGCGTGGTCTCGCGCGCAGGGCAGCGGAGGCCAGAGGGCAGGGGGTTGTCCGAGGCCGCGGGCGGACACGCTGGCCGGGCGTCCTGCGTGGGAAGGGGGGGCAGGTGGGAGCTGTTGGCCGGGGCTGTGGGCTTTGATCTCCCGTCCTGCCCTCCTCGGCCGGTTCGGTGGACGCGCACTTGGCCCCTCGGCGGCCGTGCCGCGGTGTGGGGGCGGGGTCACAGGGCCGGAGGGGGCTGTCAGCCAGGGCAGCGGGGACGTTGGTCACACACCGGGTGCCACCCGCCGGCTAGCCGGCTTCTCACACGGGAGCAGCAGGAGAGAACTCCAGGTGTGCAGGCACCTGTCCGAGCCCACCAGCCCAGCCATCGGACGGGCCGGCCCGCCGAGTCCCGCGGGGCTGTGCCCTGGGCAGTGGAGGCAGGAAGAGTTGGGGTCACTCTGCCGCCCGCGATGGTCGGGCTCCGACGCGCACCCGCTGGGCGGGGCATCGGGGTGCGGGTCGCCCAGCTGCTGCCCCCGGGACTTCCCGCTGCCCAGAATCAGCCGCACGGCCCTCACGCAGGGCCCAGGGCCCAGTGACCTCGCCGCCCCCTGGTCAGGAGGGTGCCCCCACCACGGTGCCCCCATGCTTCCCGAGCCGCCGTAGGGGACGCGAGCCCCCACCACGGCCCTGCTCCCACGGGAGAAGAACGGGAGGCGACTCCAATGGTCATTTCTGCGTCGGTCCCCCCCCCACGGGGCCCGAGAACTCAGCCGCCGTGCGTATCCCTGTCCCGTGCAGGAGGCGTCTACGCAGTGCAGGCGGCTGTTCACTCCGAGTCCCCCGGAGGTGCCCTGCGGCTGGGGCCTTACTACGTGGCGCTGGGCCGGGAGGGCGCGGCCGTGACCATGAACGCCAGCAGCGTCCACGGGGGCCAAGTGCTTGCCTTCAGCGGCTCCCCTGCGGGCCCGAGAAGTGAGCCGTCCGTGCACGGGGTGGGGCGGGGGCGGGGCAGGGCGGGCGGTGGGCACTCCCGGGGGTCGTCCTCGTCCAGAAAGCAAAGCTCCTTCCGGAGGAGCGGACGCCGTCCCTCCGCAGGGCGCTCTCCCGCGAGACCACGGGCAAGGGGGGAAACACGGACGTTTCCGTGAGGAATGTCCCGGCAGGGCTTGTTTCCCCGGCCTGTCGGACTCCGGAACTTGGGCTCCCCGGTCGGCCCGTGCTGGGCTGCCGGAGGGCGGGCGGGGGCGTGGGAGACCCCCCGCGTGGGGCGGGGGGGAGTGGACTCCCTGCTGAGACCGCCCCCCACTGGCCTCCCGCCCTCCAGGCACCGTCGTCACACGCCGCCCGCCCACCGCGTCCTCCTGCACCCTGTCCTTCACCGCCCAGGCCCCCGGGGGCGGGGGGCCGGCCTGGGCCCCCGTGGCCGTCCACTACCAGATGCAGCGTACGTGTCCACTCCCAGGTGCGCCGGTCGAGGTCAAAGGCCACGGGCAGCCCTGGGGTCCGTGGTCAGCGCTGCCGAGGCCCCGCCTGCCCTCGAACGGGTGCGGCCCGGGGACTCTTCTAGAAGTCACGGACCCCAAGGCTTCCGTCGGAAGGCATGCACGGGGGGGTCCACGCGGGCGGTCAGAGGAGGTGGCCGGGCACTCCGTGACAGGGGCCCTGGGCCCCCAGACTGCCTGCGCTGCCCCGAGTATGGCTGGCGCTCAGACCGCAGGCCCCCCCCCCACTCACGGCTGCGCCCGCGCGGGAAGCCGGGCCTAGCCGCCCCGGGGACACCCCATTCCCGGGGCCACCCCAGCCCTTCCCTCTGCCCCAGCCGTCGCTGTCCACACGAACGGAACCGTGTTTGCCACCGACGTCGATGTCACTTTCGTGGCTGTCACGGAGGAGACCACGCCGCTGGAGTTCACGTGGCTCTTCGGAGACGGTGCGCCCGTGAGGACGACGCGCAGGAGCGTCAGGAGGCGGCTCCGCGTCCCCCGGGGGTGGGTGCGGCCGCGTCCCAGGGTGCTGCTCGTGGCGCGGGCTCCGCACCGTCCGAGACGCCGGGCTGCCCCTGGAATGACTCAGGGACCCACGCACGCTGGTGCCGCCCGGCGCTTCCGTGAGGGCACGCAGGCGGTGGAGGGGCGGGGCTGGCAGCCGGGCAGTCCCAGGTTCAGGTGCCACCCGCCCCCCTCGCGGCAGAAGCGAGCTCCTGAGGGAGGTGACGGCACAGCACGCCCCAAAGAGGGGTGGTGCCACGCCCCCGTCCCCCGCAGGCGGAAGCCACCCCGGGTGCTCTGACAACCCTGCAGACGAGCGTCAGCTCCCGCCTTTCTCTGGAGCCACGGGGCGCCGCGCTCTCCCTGCCGCCCGGCCCTCGTCACCCTCTGTGCTTCCCGGGCCCCGGCCCCCCCCACAGGTACCGCGTGCTGGTGCGGGCTTCCAACGGGCTGGGCAGCGTGGCCTCGCGGCCCCACCGCGTCCGGGCACAGAGGAGAGTCGTCGCTGGCCGGCTCGTGGCGGCCTCCTGGGCCCCGGTGGGTGCCGCCGTGGCCTTCGAGTGCAGGCTCAGCTTCGGCACCGACGTGGCCTACCGGTGGGACTTCGGGGACGGCGCCGGCGGCCTGGGGAACAGCTCCGCCCGTCACGTCTACGGCAGGTGAGGCGCGTGGGTCTGCAGGACCCGCCTGTCTCACCTCCAGGACGAAGTGGCACCGTGGCCCACGAGGGGCTGCCCTGTCCCAGGTCCAGACGTCTTGCATGGTGGCCCTTTGCGTCACCTGCAGAGCAGGCGTGCCCTCCCCAGCAGACGCGACCCGCCCGGCCGGGGCTGCCTGCCCCATGGGTCCCGGTCCTGCGTCTCCCCCGGCTGCGGCCCTCCGCCCTCCCTGGGCTGGGCCGGGTGCCTGTCCTGTGCCTCCCGGGACGGGACCACCACGGCTCCGGGGTGCCCATCACATGGCGGCCCGGGTCCCCCCAAAGTGGACAGAGGGCCAGGCTGGGGCGGGGGGAGGGCTCCGAGGAGGGACGTGGTGGGTCCCCGTGAGGATGCCCCTTCCGAGCACGGCCGGTGGCATCCATCTGGGGCCTCGGTGCCGGACCCCTGACCGGGCGTCCCGGTGTCTGTGCCTTGCGCCCTCCCAGGGAAGGAGAGGTCACCGTCCGGGTCCTGGCCTTCAACGCCGTCAGCGCCGTCTCCCTCACGAGGCGCCTGTTCGTCGTGCGCCAGCCCTGCCGGCCGCCGCCCGTACGCAGCCCAGTGCCGGCGAAGGTGCAGGTGAGGCCCCAGCCCCCGGCCCGGGTGGCGGCCCTCCTCCAGTGGAGGCCGTGTGGGGACGCAGCGTCCAGGCTGCCCCCTGCATTCGCAGGAGGGTGCCTGTTGGGGCCCAGGGCCCGAGCCCCCCCCCCCCCCCCAGGGAGGGACATGCCTTCCCTGGCCTCCGAGTGCACCCTGCCTTCTCCGGCCCTGAGGCCCCGCCCGGTGTGCCTGCAGGGGTGTCTGTGCGGCGCCTGTGCCGAGAGCAGGGCTTCCGCGGAGCCGCGGGGCCGGGGTGCAGGGCGCCAGAGTCAGAGAGTCGGCTCCGCGCCCGCGGAGCACCTGCCGCGGTCCCAGACCGGGGCCGCTCCCTGTGTCCTCCGGCCTTCGATGAGGGCCCTGGTGTCCTCAGAGCCGCTCTTCCCACCCGGGGCGGGGGCGCCCAGGCGACACGGGGCGTGAGCACCCCCGGCTCGGCTGCGCCCCCAGGAGCCCTGTGCGGCCGCCGGCCCGGAGGGCAGTGCTGCGCCCCCTGCCCCAGACGTGACCCCCGGCCCCAGGTGTGGCAGGGAGCCGAGGGCGCCAGGGCCAGCCCAGGGCCAGGCCTGCGTGCACGGACCTGTGTGGCATGTGTGTTTACATATGTGAGCGTGCGTGAGCACCTGTGTGCTCATGGGCACATGTGTGATCGCAGGACTGCGGTGCTGGGGTAGAGCGTGACCGTTTTCCTTGTTATAAAGTCTCCGATCGCTGAGTGTGGTGGCGGCGTGACGTCCCACCACGTGTGGGAGCCACCCCCTCGTCCCGCTGTCTCCCGTCTGCTGGCCCAGCGGCAGCGGAGGTGCCCTGTGCCCCGTCTCCCTGCGGGTGGGGGCTTTCCCCGGCGTCCCCACGGCTCCGGGACCCAGGGCGGGGCCGCCGCCCCACACCCAGCCCTCGGCCCGTGGGTCGGCCCCTCAGAACCACTTCTCAGCCGCCCCTCCACCCCTCCGGCGTCTCACGATTTTGTCCGTCTGTCCTCATCAAGGGGCTCAGAACCGGCATCTCAGGGTGAATGAAGCTGGTAAACCCGGCAGTTTTGCGAGGAGTGGAGGAATGCTTTCATATTCAGAGTAGAAAAAGTAAAAGTAATCTTAAAGTGATTTAAATCATGACTAAAGTCACTTAAAGCCGAAGGGGAAATTCCGTTTGTAACAAATACCAATGTTTTAAAATCCTTTTATTTCCCAACTCTTGCCCATTTCCAACTTTTACGGGAGGCCTTCATCAGAAATCCTCCAGGGGGCACCATGCGCCCGTGGTCGGCCGCAGCGTCTGCGCCTGCCTTGCACGTGGGGGACTCACAGCCTCAGCACTTGGTTACATTGTTGCACAGGCCTCACCTTTGTCTTTAAATGCCGCCAGCGCCCGGTGGGGCTCCGGGGCTGCTTTGGGGGCGCTGCTGCCCAGCCCTGGTCTCAGAAAGCTTCCCACCCGCCCAGCTGACCACTGCTTCAGCTCTGCAAGTACTTTTCAGCATTTTTCTAGTAAATATGCGAAATACTTTCAGAGTAACAACGCCAACATTACCACCAGAAATAAAACTTCTTCACGAGCCTTCAGATGCCCTCAGAATAATAGATCCTCAGGGCGCTGTATGTGAGGTCACTTGAAGGGCCTCTTTATCCTGTTGCTTGTTGGAAATCAGGTTACATTCCTTTCTTTCTAATGGCCAGAAATCTTTTCTTTTTGCTTCAATTTAAATTTTGACTCTGCAAAACATCTGCCTGACCTCAGAGTCAAAGCCGCACGATAAGGCAGGAACGCATGTGCTTGTCGATTCACAGCTTCGCTCAGTTATCTGTCGGAGGCTGGGAATCTTGATTTTAAATGATGTTAAAGTGTATTTTAATATATATTTGGCAAATGATTTTTCCGTTCCCTCGACTGCTTTTTAAAGTTACCCTTTTGATACTCAGAAGTTAGGAGTGTTGCTGTAATCCAGTCTGGGAACCTGCCCTTTGTATTTTCCCATGAATGCTGCCCTTAGGGGAGATTTTCCTGTTGCGAGTGGGTGAGCAGAGGCTCCGCCGTCCTCGCTGACCGTGCGCTGCTCTGACTCGGCGCCATCCTCTGCGGCTCGGAAGCCCTGAGTGGCCTAGTGCCTGGGGCCCGGCCCCGGGACCCCCACCCGCCCGCGCTCACAGGACTCGCATGCACGTTCTCAGTCCCTCGCCCTGGCACAGACGGGCCCCTGCCCGGCGCGACGCCTCTCTCCTCACGCGCAGGTGTGGAGGTCTCAGCCTGTGACCCTGGGGGTCGCCTTTGAAGCCGCCGTGCTCTGCGACGGCGCCCAGGGCCTTTCCTACGCCTGGACCTTCACCGACTCTGCCGGCTCGCCGGTGCCCCTGCCGCCCGCCGTCCGAGCTCACGGGCAGACCATCACCGTCCCCAGCTACACTCTGGAGCCCGGGAACTACACGGCGCTGGCCAAGGTGGGCTGGCTGCCACTGCCTGCCCCACCCACCCGAGCAGACGCGCCCTTCCTGCCGGCCTCCCTCCCAGGCGCCCGGCGATCCAGGCCTGCTCTGCCCCTGGGGGAGGGCTTTGGTTTTTTCCGATTCCACCGACTTTTCTGTAAGTCCCTGATACATTCGGGTTACAAAGGGAGCTCCGACAGAGCTGAGCTAAAGGAAGCTCACGACCAGGGAGTCATCTGGCCGACTGAGAAGGTTGTAGCCCGTGGACTGCTGGGGGCGCCGCTCTATCCGCAGGCCTGGAGCCCCCCCAGCTCTGTGCTCACACAGACTCGGGAAGGAAAACCCTCCCGCCCTTGTGCACTGCAGCCCCACCTCCAGGGTTCGGGGCACACAGGGGGGTGCTCACTTCCACAGCGGGAACCGGCCGTGGGCTTAAGAAGAACTGGGTCTTTCTGGGCAGCACCCTAGTGAAGCCTCAGTTGGAGCCGATGACCCGTTCAGACACCCCCCAGTTTCCTGCTAACAAGTGAGACCAGGGTGGCTGTGAGCGCCCCGCCCATCCCACTGACGCCCCCTGGTGGTCGCACTCCAGGTGCAGGTGGAAGGCAGCGCCGTGCACAGTAACTACTGCGTGGAGGTGGAGGTGCGATCCCGGGCGCCCGTCAGCGTGATCTCCGAGGGCACACACCTGTTCGTCCCCAGGACCCCCTCGTCCACCGTCGTCCTCCGGGGATCCCTGTCCTACGACCCCGACAGGCCTGGGGCAGCCCTCAGGTGAGCCCGCCGGGCTGTGCGGCCGCCCCTCCCCGCCCCAGCCTCCCAGCCACCGCCCTCTGCTGACCCGGCTCTGGGGACGCTGGTCCGAGATCCGGACGACTCTGAGCCCCCTCCCTGGCAGCCTGACCCGGTGGCGTCCACTCTCCATCCACCTGGAGCAGGGGCCCTCCGTGGACACCGCCCTCACCAGTAACGGGGGACGTGCCTCCACGGACACCGTCCACGGGCTCCCGGAGGCCCCCAGTGGCGCTGTGGCCCCTGACCCGCCCGGGCAGGTGCGCCAGCCCCCCCACCGCTTCCCGGCAGGTACCACTGGACATGCTCGCCAGCCAGCACCCCCGGGCGCCCCTGCCTCGCCGGGCCCGCTGCCCACAGCCTGGACACCACGGCCCCCACCCTGTCCTTCGCGGCAGACGCTCTCAGCGGCAGCTATGACCAGTTTCTCGTGACGCTGACGGTGTCCAGCCGCGGCCGGAACTCGTCCGAGGCCCAGGTGTTCCTGTCCACCCGCGCTGACTCGGCGCTCAGGTGCCGCCTGCCCTGCCCTGCCCTGCCGTCTCCACAGCACCCGTCTGGGGGTCGTCCTGGGAGCCCCGCGCCGGCTGGGGTCGGGGGCCACCAAGGAAACTGGCTGTGCATGCAGGGCGGGGTCCTGACACCCACCTGCTGCGCTGACAGTGCAGCTTCCAGGGTGGGGGGAGGCGCCCCAAGGCCAGGGGGAGGCGGAGGGCTCCAGGACCTCTGCCCGTGGCCCCCGGGCACCGCTGGGCGGCACAGACCAGCGGAGTGTGAGCTCGTGACTGCTCAGAGACAGGGGGCACAGAACCGCCCTGACCACACACCAAGGCCCCCGCACGGAGGCCCCACCCCGCCCAGGCCTCCAGTGCAGGCCGGTGTGTCCAGGCATGCTGGCCTCCCGTGGGGAGGTGGGTGAGCGGACACCCTGGGCCCACGGCTCCGTGGGACACCGGGCTGGCCCAGGCGGGCAGGGCCACCTCTGTCATGGCCCCGGCAAGGGTTCCGGGCAGCTACTGCCGTCTTGTGTGACGGCATCCTGGGCTGGGTGAGCTCTGGAGGGCTTCCTGGAGGAGGCTGCACAGCCCCTCTGTGCTCCGGGGCATGTGGTGTTGCATCCGTCCCCGAGACCCGGCGGTGTCATGCGAGGTCGTGCTGGGTGGCTTTGGCACAGGCTGGGCCACCCGGTCCTGTGGACTGGGACTCTGCCATGACCCTCCCAGTGGAGGCCCAGGGGAGGGCGGTTTAAACAGACGTGACCGGGAGGGGCAGCCCGGGAGGCCGTGCTGGTCCCTGAACTCCAGGCCCGACTTTCACGCTGCAGACTGGTGTCCATCGCCTGGGCCGCCTTCCGCGGCGTCCCCGTGAACTGGAACGAGGGGCTCTCGCTGCGGGCGGCCTGTGAGGACTGCGGCGAGGCCGCCGCGCTCTCGTACTCCTGGGACCTCTTCCGGGTCAATGCGACGGGGAGGGACGCAGAGGAAGGTACGGACCGCAGTGCCGCCGTCACTGGCTGCGCCAACAGCTGTCTTGAGGTCACTACAGACTTGCGAAACCTGATTGGTTTGCCCGGGTGTGTCCGGTCTTGGCCACGGGCTATCATGTCACCACCCTCTGGTTTAGCTTTGGGTGGACGGTGGTGACCGGAAGGGGACGAGGCCCAGAGGCTGCGCCTCGGCCTGGGGGCTGCCTGCAGGCTGCACCCGTTCGGAAACGGGTGTGCCTGTGAGATGACAGGTGTCCTCGGGGCCCGGTGGCTGGGGGCTCAGCTGAGGAGCCGGCAGAGGGGGGATCCGTCCTCACTGCCCCCTGCGGCTGTGCCTGGGAGCTGCTCTGAGCCTTAGGTTTCATGGGGACAGTGGGGGTCCTGAGGTTCTGCAGGAGGGGGAAGTCTGGGGAAGCCACGTGGGGGACACGTGGCCCCGGTGGCGGGCGGGGCCTATGGGTGGCAGGGTCCCGGGTGGGGCCTGGGGCAGCAGCATCCTCCTGGGCGACGCTGTGCCAGGGCCGCTCTGGCCTGACCACGGAGGGGCCCCGCCCTGAGCTGGCTGCACGGCGCCCTGGGCAGCCTGTGCCTCCCGCCCCGCCCACGTGCTCCCCCCCTTCCCCTCGCAGCCTCACGAGGCTCCCACGAGGGGAGCGGCCTCCGCGCTGATGGGGCGGGTCTGGCCACTGAACGTGGGGTGGGAGGCAATGGGCGGTGGGGGTCCCAGCGGTGGTCACACGTCCCTCTGGGCGGGCGCTCGTCCCTGCCTGCACGGTGGCGGCTCAGCCCTGCCCTCATGGAGCCGCCGCGTTGGGGGACAGTGAATGCCGACTCCCTGGGGGGCTCCGTTCTCCCGTCCGCGCCGAGTGTTTCCTGGTTGTCGACCCTCTTCCGGGAACCCTACCGGCCGGGTCGGGGCCGCTGCCGAGACACCGGCTGCCAGGTGGGGCTAGGACACTACCTCGTGCCCAGGTAGTGTCTCGAGCACGTGCGGCCGGCCGGGCCGGGGTGCGGGGCGCTCGGCGGCCCCTCCCGGTGGCCCGGCAGCTGGCCCGCCCCCGGCTAGGCCCCCTGCGAGCAGCCTTCCTGCTGACACTGGGTCTGTGTAAGACAGAGTGTGGGTGTGGGATCTGTAAGCGCTTAGGAACCGATTCCCGTCCAAACCCGTGACCCTGTGACATCTCCGTTGAAGTTCCGTTTTGCAGAACCGTGGGACTGCTGGGCTCCACGGGTCTGGGGGCCAGATGGAGGTCATCGGAGTCCTACCCACCGTCCCTGGGGCCAAGCAGGGCAGAGCCGCATGTCACGCCTGCGCCATCCTCGTGGGCGCTGTGGCCACGGACCCCGGGCCGGCTGGACATCTCAGCCCCGGGCACAGCCTCCTCGGAGTCCACAGGCCCTGTGCCCCGTGTCCCCGCTGTGGGTGACGCTGCGGCCCCAGACGGGGGTCCCTGGGACGTGCGGACCCCAGTGAGCCCGACCCCTCCCCTGCCTGGTAGGTGCCGCCCTGGTGTAGGTGTGGGTCATGTGCCCGTGGGCCCCGCCTGGCACCCACCCCTGCTGCTCAGGCTGGACAGAGGCCGGTCTGTGCCCCGCAGCTCAGGGAAGTTCACGGTCAGGGAGCCGGGTCCTGGCCCTGCACCCGCCTTCGCCCTCGCCGCCTGCCCCTCCCCCCGCCACCATTCATTCCCCTGGGCTGCTCTCGGTCACGGTCAGGGGACGGGGCTGTGCCCGGTGTTCCAGAGGCCGCTGCACCCCAGAATCCCGGCCTCCGGGGAGCGGGTGGGCGGGCCCCCACAAGTCCCTCGGACTGGGGGAGGGAAGCGCCCTGGGGACAGAAAGGTGACAGTGGCAGCTGGACGTTCGTGCAGCTTCTCCTGTGAGAGAGGAGAGCAAGGCCTGTCTGTCCCCAGGCCACCGCATCCAGCCGGCAGGTGACCACGCAGAGCCCCGCCCACCGGGGGGCGGGGACCAGGACGCTGCCTCGCCCCGCCCGGCCCCGAATGGCCTCGGAGGGGTTCGCGTCCGCGGGGCGGGGCCTGAAGCAGACCAGAGGGGCTGCGTGTCCCTGGGGAGCCGTGGGAATTTCAGGGGGTCTGGTCCCCACGCCACGTCCCCGCGTTGTCCTGTCCCGCAGACTTCGAGGCTCATTACGGTGACGTCCAGGAAGCAGCGCCGGCGGAAGGGAGGTGGCCGGCGGACTGTGAGTCTGCGCTCCGCCCTCCGACCCCGCCCGCGTCCTGTCCCCGCCCCGCCGGCCCTCCACCCGCTCCCCTAGCCCGGGTCCGCGCCCCCTCCTGCGGCCCGAGGCCGAGGGGCGGGCGTTGCTCTTTTGGGGGCACAGTCTGGCCCTACTTTCCGCTCTCCTGCGACCCAGAGGGCCCCCAGCTGCAGACACCCAGAGGAGCCCAGGCCCCCGGGGCACCGTCTCTCTCCCAGCGTCCCTGGTCCGTGGGCCGCCTGTCCCCGGCCAGAAGCACCCCCTCGACGCCCTCCCTCCTTGCCTGTGGGATCGGATTGCCCCCCTGGGGAGCCCCTCTTGTCCTCCCCCCACCCCCGCCCGCCGCCCGGGGTCTCTGTCCCCCTCCTCGTGCTGCTCCCAGGCCCTCCCCACGTCTGCCCCTCTGAGCCCAGCGAGGGACGTTTCTTTCTTTTCTTTAATGATGTTTTACTCTGTAACCTCAGTCGACACGTTAACTTCAGGTGTGTGACATGGTGATCAGACACCTGACCCACGGGGCTGGTGGGCTCTCGCGCAGTGGGTGTGCACCAAAGCACAGTGAGGGGGGGAGGCCTGGCGCTCACGGACCGCTCTTCCTGGAGGCCGGGCCCCTCCGGCGCCCCCAGGCAGGCACCCGCTTTCCCGTCTAACCGTGCTTGCCGGCCTGGGCGTGGGGCCAGAGGTCGGCCTCCCTCAGCAAAGCCCCGGGAGCTGCCCCGGCCCCAGCCCGGCCACCCGAGCAGCGTCTTCCTCAAGGGTCTCCCCCATCTCTGTCCTGAGCCTCCCCCGCGGTCCTGTCCTGCCCCACCCGTGCCCCCTCTCTGCGCCCCACTCTGTCCGCTCCGGGCGCCCCCACCGCCGGCGTCTCGCTGCCCCGGGGCGGGGGTTCCTCCTCATGCGCTTTCCCACGTGCTCACCCGGCCGCCGGCCGTTTCCAGTAGCCGCACCTGGGCGTCTGGGGCCCAGCGCACGTGTGCCGAGTGAACGCCACGGCCCACGAGTCACGTGGCAATGGCATTGCTCTCGACCGCGTGTGGTGGGCGGAGCCTGGAGCTGAGCAGGGCCCAGAAGCAGAACGGCCGATGCTCTCAGAAGGTCGTGACCACCCTCTCCCTAACCGACGTGGTTCCGCGTGTCTCCCCAGGGGCCCACCTCCACCTGCCAGCGCCAGGACCGACTGCCGGTGCCGAGGAGGGCCCCAGGGACGGAGACCAGCTGCTGGGCCCCTTCCTCCCCGCCCGGGCCGCCGGGCCTGCTCTCCTGGTCAACTGGCCCAAGTCCCCCGTGAGCCGGGCTGTCTTCCACAGCTACACCGTGTCTGGTAGGAGCGCCCTCTGTCCCAGCGCCTCGGCTGGCCTGGGACGGGACACCAGCCCTGCCTCTGCCTGCCCTTTCTCTGTGGACCAGACGAGATGGGGGGCAGGGGGCACGAGGCCTCTGCAGGGGTGACTGTCCCCCGTGGCCTGCAGGCCGGGGGCCCCCATCTGCAGACGGAGGGGAAGAGGCTGCCACGCGGGCCCCGGTGCCGAGGGCGGTGCCGGCCCCTCGTGCGCACGTGCTCCCAGGGTGACCCACAGACCGAGCTCGGGCCGCTGCCTCCAAGGAGCAGTGGGGGGCTGCTGAGCCCCATCCGGACCTGCTGGTCCACAGTCACACAGCTGCTGTCCCCTGGGCGGAGACCCGGGTTCCCTGTTGTCAGGTGACGAGCAGCTGGCGCCCACCCAGGGCGCCCCTGGGTCTCCCCTTCCAGGCGCACGGGTCAGGGGAGTCTTTGTCTGCCGGGGCCACCATCCCCCACGGTCAGCGGTCACACGCAGGCTTGGAGCTGCTCCTGCAGGCACTCCGGTGTCGCCCGGAGAGGGACAGACAAACTGACTTGGTGCGCCCGCTTGTAAATGCGGGGACTCGGCTCTTCCCCGAGTTCTCCGGGACGACGGCGTCCTCTCTGGCCTGGCCACTGCCCAGCTCAGGCTGCCTGTCCAGTGGGGGGAGGCCGGGCGGGAGCCTCCAGCTCCGAGCCGAGGGGGACGACAAGCTGCGGCGTCTCCAGGCAGAGCCTGTGTCCCCGTCCCCTCGGGGGTGCGTCTGCCCTGCCGCCCTGCGGAGTCCCCAACCCCCTGCCACCCTCCTTTCCTGCAGGGACCGCGGGACAGACGGTGACAGTGAAGCCGTACTCGCTGAGCCCTGGGGCCACCTACGTCCTGCAGGCCACTGTGGGTAGGTGACCTGCTGGCCGGGCCTGCTGCGGGCGGGGAGGGGGATCGGGTTCTAGTCACGGCTTTTCCTGCAAGTTGCAGCCGCATGTTCCAGGGGCCCGGTGACCCCTCCTTGGCCACTGCCCGCCTCCCCGGAGGACGTGCTGGCTCACGCAGTGGCTGGGCCCGGTCCTGAGCCAGCAGCGCTGGGCGGCCCAGGAGGCCCAGGGCAGCACGTCCACGGGGCTGGGGCCCCACGGGGGTGTGCGTGGTCAGAACCTCGGGCCCCCCGGCACTCTCCAGCGTGGGTGTCACCCCGTCTCCACCCCCCCCACCCGCAGCTTCGGGGCTCCGCTTCCTGGGGAAAGCCCAGCTGTACTTGACCGTCAACGGAGCCCCGCGGGGCGTGGCCTGCCAGGTGCAGCCGCCTCGCGGCCTGGAGGCCCACACCGTCTTCAGTGTCTTCTGCACCTCGGGCCGACCGGTGAGCACCGCGGCCCCGCGCCTGTCCTGAGGGCGGGGCTCACAGCGGCTCTCTGAGGGACCGGGGGGCACAAAGCCCACCCCCCCAGGGCTGGGTGCTGGACCGCCCCATGTCCACCGGCCCCTCCAGAAACCCCCACCCCCACGAGCATCCTCAGGAGACCCCGCCCTGGCCCCCCCCCAGCCCCCCCCGCAGGCCCCGCCCGGATGCCCTGCTCTGAGCCCTGAGGCTGAGACTGCTGCCCCCACAAAGGCCCCATCCCCCGTCTGCCATGTCCCCCCCACCGTGGAAAGTGGAGGGGCAGCCTTGTCCCCTTCACCCCAAGGAGCCCTGCGCTCCCTGCGTCTGTGGCTGTTGGGAGGCCCCCCCCAGGAGGACCCACTCACCCGAGTGACAGACGCAGCGTGTGGGGTGTCCCCCGTGGGGGACAAGGGGGACTGGAGGTGGGTGGTCACCCCTGCATGTGCGCTGGGGACACCCGTCCCACCAGCCGAGCGTCCGTGGGGCAGGGACAGCGTGGGTGCTGGTCAGGCCGCCGTCTGTCTGCTCATCGGTGCTTCCCCCGCTCTCCCTGGACGGACGGGTCGCAGGACTTCCGCTACGAGTTCCGCTACCAGGTGGGGGACGCCGCCCCGCGCACCCTGCACCGGGGGACCGACACCCAGCACTACTTCGCGCTGCCCGCGGGGGAGCCCGCGGACGGGCACCAGGGTGAGTCGCCGGCCGGTTGGGGGCGTGGGCTGCGTCCTGAAGCTTCCCCCTGCCCCCCCCAACCTGGGAAGATGAGGTTCTCAGTGACTCACCCGGAGAAGTCAAATGCGTCTTAGGGTTGGTCAGCTGCCCCCTTTCGCGTGCAGACGGGATGTGCCGTGTAAGTGCGTGTTGGAATCTGAAGCAGGTCGGTGAGGAGACACCAGGAATGTTCAAACGAAGCATCTGAGACCCAGCTGCCCCTGGTTTGCCCACGGCGGGCGTGGTCCCCGAGAATCCAGCGTTTGCCGGGGGAGCGGCGCCCCGGTCTCCCGCCCTCCGGCGTGGGGGACGCCGCACTGGGGTGGGTTGTCCTTGGAGCCCGTCCTCCCCCACAGCCCGGACCCACCCCCACCGGCCCCAGGACCCCCTCCCCTGAGTGTGCGGGACACAGCCACTGAGCGAAGGGCGTCGACCCGCAGGGCCCAGAGCCGTGACCTGAGCATCTCAGGGCGACAGAGTCTTGTAAGCTTCCGGATGGTTCCGGCATGGAGGGAGGTTGAGTCTCTGACCTAGTGGTTTCCGCAATGTGGCTGCTGAGGTTCCTTCCACCTGACGTCTGAGCAGGTCAACCGTGCTGATCAGCTCTCGTCCCCGCCCTCGGGCCCAGCCTCCCCCGGGGCCTGCGCACTCCCAGCCTCCCCCCGGGGCTGGCCCCGGTGGCACCTCGGCCCTGGGCGCAGCCTCTCAGTCTGCACCTCCCTCTTCGGCCCCCCGGCCCCGGGTCAGCCATCTCACATGTGACTCCTTTCTCACCTGACGGACCCCGCGCAGGCGGGGCCACCGGGGGCGTCTCACTGCAGGGGCACACGGTGCAGGGCCGGGGACCGGTGGGCAGCATGTGTGAGCGGAGGGCCCGCTCCCTGGCCCTCCTCACGGTGGCCGCCTGCCTTCCTGGGGACGCTGCCGCCCTCTGGCTCTGGCGCTCACCCCCTCCTCCCAGGTGCTGTCCTGTCTCACGGGGAGTGTGGTCGCCGCCCGGACACGGAGCTGGGCCAGCAGGGGCTGGGGGCCGGCCTGCGGGTCTGCCCCTCTATGGCTGCCCGCACCTGCAGAAGCATCTGCGCATGGCCCTGCTGACCCCCCGACACTGTGTCCCTTCCAGTCCTGGTGTCCACCGTGGTCACCGACGGCGAGGGCTCCCAGACGAAGCCATGTGCTGCTGCAGTGACTGTGCTGCCCCGTCGCCACGGGGACGACTGCCCCGGCGAGGACGTGTGAGTGAGCTTTGTCTGCCCTGCCCCGCTCCCACCCCACCCCACCCCACCCCACCCCACCCCACCCGGCCGACTCCATGGGTCACAGTGCACACCGTGGCTCCCACCTGCTGCAGGTTCGGGTGCTGCCCACCCCTCAGCTTCCCGGCACACGCGGGGCCCCGTCCAGCTCTGCACCCCCGCCCTTCCCGGCCTCGTTCCTGCGCCCCCTGCTGGTGCCTCGCACCTGCTCCGTCCAACGCGGCGTTTAGGGGGGCCGGCGTCACTCCTGAGTCCTGCTGGAGCTCCCTCTGCCCAGGCCGGCTCCTCCCCAGCCCTCTCTGCCTGCCCCGCCCCAGCCGGGAAGCGTCTCTGTAACCAGTGCCATCCCCGCCGGCTGGCGGGCAGGTGGACGCGTCCTGCAGCGTGTCTGTGTCCCGCAGGTACAACTCCAGCCTGAAGAGCCTGTCCGCCCTCCGGCTGATGGGGAGTTCCGCAGAAATCCGGAACTATGTCTCCGTGACCGCCAGTGACCTGAGTCGCTGGGCGAGGGACGGGAGTCCCTCCTGCGGCCTGTGGCCGCGCATCCAGGACGCGCTCGTTTCTGCAGCGTGCACCTCCGCTCCCCGAGACCAGGTGCGGCCCAGGCCTGCGCAGCAGGGGCTGGGCCTGGCTGGGTCACACGCGGGCGGTCGCACTTGGGAGACAGGCCCACTGGGGGCCGAGCTGGGTGGGCCGCTCGTGTGGTCTGACGCATGGCTGCGGCCTCCCACTGGCTCCTGCGTCTCGCAAACCGGCGGGGTACAGCGCGGCTGGTTTCCCGAGGAGAGCACAGCCTCAGCCGCCGTCTGTGCAGACAGGCCCGCATCGCCGTGGGAGGGAACTAGGTGAACACGGCCCCATTCCTCCTCGGGAACAACACAGCGGTCAGGGTCACAACGGGTGCGGCTTCCCAGGCCAGGGCCTTGCACACAGCGGGCCTGAGGCCCCCGTCCCCCCGTCCCCCCTGTCCCCCCCGTCCCCGCTGTCCCCCCTGTCCCTGAGAGCAGTGACGCCCAAGGGCACCCCAGTCCACGGTCACCACGGCACGGGCGCTAATACTGATCCTCCCCCCGCCATGCCCTCGCACCCTCGCCGGGGTCACCTGCGCTGGCGGCCTGGCCCCTGCTGCTGCCTGTCACCTCCCGACGGGGCTGGGAGCCGGTCCACGGTCAGGGGACGGGTGCCCTGCCAGCAGGAATGCATGGGACCGGCGGGCGGTCTCTCAGACACGGGGAGCTTCCCTGGGTCCCTGAGCCCAGAGCGGGGGTCGGCCCCGTCCCTGCCCGAGCGAGCGGAGCCGTGCGGCCAGCGGGGGACCGCGCGGGCTGACCGCCTCTGCCCTGCCTCCGTCTCCTTGTCCTGCCCAGGAGGACGCGGCCGACTGGGTCCTCGTGCTGCGGGACCTCCTCCGCTTCCCCAACAAGGTGCGCCCCGCTTCCCCGGCGTCTCCCTGCTTCTCTGCGCCGAGACCGGGGCCTCGGCCAGCTCCTGCTCTGTCCCTTCTCGGTCACAGTCACGTGTCCTCGTTTGTCACTCTGCGGGTCAGGATGCTGACCCCCGGGAGCCGACTGCCGCTTATGTGAGATCGGGGCGAGCGGGGCTTGAACCCGGGCCCCGGGGCCCTGGCGCGGGGTTCACTTCCGGGGACGCAGGGCCTGGGCAGCAGCGCTTTATCTCTGTTTCCACGCAGCTGAGCGCCGCCAGCGCCGACCTCATCCTCGGACACGCCCGCTCGCTGCTGGCTCCTGGGCGGCCCCCCGCCAGCCTCCTGGCGGACGCGGGGCGGGTGCGGGAGCTCGTCCTGCTGGTGGCGGGGGTCCTGGGGGGCCCTGACCACAGTCCCCCATGGGACGCAGCCCGTCTGCTCGAGGACGGAGTTCAGGTCATCTCGGACGCCCTGCTGGTACGTCGCCCACCCCCTCCCCTCCCCTCCCCTCCCCTCCCCAGCAGGGTCCCTGTTCAGTGATTGCTTCTCTTGAAACTCTGAGTGTGGCAGGTCCCTGAGGTCTACGGGGTGTGGGGTGCTGGGCGGCAGCATGACATTAGGGGGTGTTTACTTGCTGGGTTTCCTGGGAGCATCCTGGTGACCGTGGCTGCTGCCGCCGGTCCCCATGGGCTCTGCTGGGCCTCCCTGTCCCTGGGGAGTATGGGGAGTCCCACACACGGCCACCCCCCACCCCCCCACCTCCCCACCTCCCCACCTCCCCACCTCCCCACCTCCCCACTGGTGCAGAAGGTGGCTCCGCTGACAGAGCGGGTGTTCCCACTGCCGTGACCTTCAGAAATTGTCTCGGGGGTGAATCGGGTTCCTTCCGGAAGCTTCCATGTCTCCTCAGTCCCTGGGGGTCCCGCCCCCTCCCCCCTCCCCCCCCGTCCCCCCGTCCCCCCGTCCCCCCCGTCCCCCCCGTCCCCCCCTCGTCCCCCTGAGCCCCCCTGTCCCCTCCTGGGTGCGGGGGGCACCGGGCGATCAGGAAGTGCGTGTGCACTCGGCCCGGGCCCCTGTGAGCGCGTGCCCTCCAGCCCCCAACCGGGGCCCGGAACCTGGGGGGAGGGGCACCTGTCACAGAGGGGCAGCCGTCACGGGGAGGCACCGCCGAGCAGAAGCCAGCAGCAGGAGTCACCGTCCTCCGGCCGAGCGTCCTTGTTCGGACCCAAGCCTGGACCAGCGTCTGCCCGTGTGCTTCCAGGGCTGCCTGTCGGCGGGCTGCGAGCACCAGCTCCACGTCAGCGCCGGGTGGACGGAGTTCCGCTCGCAGCTCCACCGCCGCGCCGGGAGCGCCACGCTGGGCCTGGGCCCGGTGCTGGTGCGGGTGCGGCTGCCCGCGGACCTCACCGCGCAGGAGACGCAGAGCCCCTGCTACGTCAGCCAGCTCTCGCTCTTCCGGGGCAGCCCCGCCCCGTGGGGGCCCGCGCCTGGCCAGGTATACAGTCCTCGGGGCCCAGCTCCCGCCCGCGGGGACCGTGCACATGGGCAGAGACGCCGGGGACCGGGGGGGCATGTGCGCCCCGGTGCTCAGTTCCGGGCTAGTGTCCGTGTCACCTGCAAGACAACCTCAGCCAACCCAGGGGTGTCCCCGCACCCAGGACCCGGAGCCCCTCGGGGTGTCCTGCTGGGCCGCACCGCCCAGCTGTCAGAGCCAGAGGCCGGTGTGGGTCTGAGCGTGTGTCCCCACAAGGCTGGCCACAGGGTCCCCAGGGGCTGGACAGAAGAGGGGGCCAGTGTCAGCGGGCCTGTGGCGGTGGGCGTGTCGGGAGGGTGGTGCCAGCGTGTCATGGTTCTGCGGCCACGGGCTTCCCTTCTGCCTCCGCTCCGGAGGCCACGGCAGTGACCCGGGTCACGGGGGCGGGGTGCCAGCGGTCCTGCATTTTCTGTGCCTTGCCCCGCTCACGTGCCCCCCCACATCCCCCCCCGCCCCGTGATGTGTGACGGAGTAGCATGCAGATGGAGGCGAGCCCCCCGGGCTGTGCGAAAGTGTTTGCACCCCCTCCTTTTGGGGAAACACGTGGCTAAGCAGCCCCTGAAAACCACCCCGACCGGCACGCAGAAAAGAAGCAGAAACTTAAGTGAAATGGGCGATTGCGCAGACATGGGCCTCTGGGGGGGGCGGGCGCGGGGCGTCTGGGCGGCCGGGAGCACCTGCTCGCTCGGGCGGGGTCCCCCTCGGTGTCCCCCCCCCCCGGGGAGACGGGAGAGCAGCTCTCTGCAAAGCAAGATGTCCGATGCGTTCACTCGAAACAGCGTCAGTTCTCGTAGCCCGAGTGGGGAGGGGCCTGAGTGTCCCGCAGGCAGTAGGTCCGCTTGGGGCTTTGAGGAATGAGGGGAACGCGAGTACAGCCAGTTAAAGGGTGCCGGCCAGGGGTCCTGGGGACCTGGGAAGACCACATGCAAAAAAAACAAAAACAAAAACATTTACTGTCTGTGCGGCGAGTCCCCAACACCCGGGGGAGTGTCCCACACGGCTGGGGCCGAGTTCTCAGTGTGGTGTCCAGCCGCCACCTGCCAGCCCTCTGGGGCCCCTCCGCCCCTCCCTTGGCCCCTCCCTCGGCAGGTGTGGCTTCTGTGTGACACTTTGAGAGACTCCAGGATGACGGATTTGAGTGAGAGCGACTCAGCGAAGCCCTGCCCGCCCCCTGCCCCCTGCCCCCTGCCCCCTGCCCCCTGCCCCCTGCCCCACCTTCGCCCCAGGTCCTGCCGGTCTATCCAGCGAACCTGTCTTGCCTGAGTGTAGGCCCCCAGCACCAGCTCCAGCTCCAGCTCCACAGTGGGGTGGGTTGTAGCTGCAGAGCGGCTGGTGTCACCGCCTGAGGTGCGCTCTGGGCCCCCAGGTGGGCACGGTGCTCGCCCTGGCCCTGCACCGCTGCTCCGGCAGGAGGCCGCTCCGCACCCAGCGGCTGAGGATGCCCGTGACCGTGGAGTTTGGGGAGGAAGACCGCCCGGTAAGGACAGCCCCGCCCCTCAGCTGCGCAGCGGCTGTGCCTGCGCCTTGTGGAGGCATCTCTACTTTCCAGGGCGAACTCGCGAGTTGTCCGCCAACGCTGCTCCTTGTCCGTGCACCGGCAGGGCGACGGCGGGAACGAGACAGCGCTCGTGCTGCGTCGGGACCGAGTGCACGTCCACCGCCTGGCGGGGCTCTCCCCGGCCCCCCCGGAGGCCCTGCAGGTCCGGGTCACGTTCTCGCGGCCGGCCGCCAGGGCCTTCCCGGTCCTGCTGCTGCTGAGGTGCGTGGGGCCGGGCTGCAGCCACCGCGGGGCTGGCGCGAGGGGTGGGCCGGACCCTGAGAAGGTCTCTGAGCGACCTTGCACTTCGGGCGCAGCGGGAGGCTGGCTGCGTGAAGAAATCGACAGCTCGACCGGGTGTGTGTGTGCGTGCACGTGTGTGTGTCGCACAGGCGGCGTCCCCACAGGCCCCTGCGCCGTGGGCTGACTTGTGTCCGTCCTGCAAGCTAAGCCGTCGGGGCCGAGAGACCTGCCTCTTGGCTCAAAAAGCTTGGGATTTCGCTTAATCTTTGTCACACGCAGAGAAGGTGACGGGTTCTGAGCAGCGCCTCCCTGTCACCACACTGTGCTCGCTGCCCCGAGGCTGCCGCTGCCTGACCCCTAACAGTCACCGTTCGGGGAGGGGGGCACAAGCCCGCCCTCCTGGAGCCCCTGGCGGCGTTCCTGCAGGCCGGCACGGTCCCCGTGGTGCCCGAGCTCCGCGTTTGGTCTTTACTGAAGCGAGTGAGGGCCGCGCAGAGTGAATGACTCGGCGGGGCGGGGCGGGGTGGGGGTGCATTCTGTCCCCCGCGCCCCCCCCCCTGCCCTGCCCTGTCGTGCTAACGTCTCTGCACCGAGTTGCAAGCGTGGCAGCTGTCGGGGGGGAAACCGGGACAGGGCCGGACGCCGGGGCTTCCTGTCCGTCCCCAGGTTCTCGGAGAAGCCGACGCCGTCCCGGTTCCTGGTGAAGCAGACGCACTCCTGGGAGGGGCTCACGGCGCACCTGTCCGTGCCGGCCCCGTCGCTGCGAGGTCGGTGGGCGAGCCTCCCTGCGCCCTCGGCTCTGTCCGTGGGCGAGGCCCCCGGGGACGTGCATGTGTGCATGTCCTCTGCTTCGTCGCACTCAGCCCGTGTCCCCTGTCACCACTCCCTGGGCCTGGGGTCCGGGCTGGGCCGCTCTGCGACCTGCAGGCCGTGACTCTGGGTCCCCCGTCCTCTTGCAGGCCCCGCCCAGGCGTACCTGTCCTTGCTGGACGCGGACTACGACAGGGACCCTCCGGACAGGCACCTGGCCGAGGCCGTGGGCTACACCCTGCGGGTCCAGGGCGTCCGCTGCCTGCTCTGGGACGCGAGGCGGTGGGCACCCGCGGGTCTCCCCCCGCAGCCGGGCGCTTCTCCGGGGAAAGTGAGCTGCAGGTGCGCACACGGGTCTGCGGGGGGCCGGGGCTCTCGGAGACCACGCTTCCTCCCGGGGCCGTCCTGACCTGGGCCCCCGGGCGCACGGGGCTGTCGGCCATGTTGCTCAGTCGGAGCCTCCGTCGCCGGGTGCACGCCGACACCGTGGCAGAGGCTGTGCCGCGTGTTCTCCGGCACGTCCAGAAACAGTCCTCATCTTACGTGGAGTCAGACCGTCCTCTGGCCGCCCTTGAGGGCGGGCGTGTCCGGGCCACGCCGTGTGTCATGCGGCTGCTGGCAGCCATGGCTCCCCGTGTCCCCGTCTTCACTGGACACGGCCCCGCTGGGGACACGCAGACCTGCTGGAGGTTTCAGTTTGGAAGACCCAGTCCATCCAGTGGTGGCCATGGCAACGGCAACACCGGGACTGTGGCACCCGAACAGTCTGACGGGCTTTTCCGGGTCATCGGAGGCTCTGGGCCATCGTCACAGGGATGTCAATGCTGTGGTCACGGGGCGTCACAGAGACCGTGGTGCCGGGGTGGCCCCGGGAGCTGTGGGCGCAGACTCAGGGGTGGGCGCTGGCCGCGCCATCACAGGCCCCGCCTCCCGCCCGTTTGCCAAGCATGTTCAACGGGTCTGAGTCGCCCTGTCCCACCGGGCCCCCCCTCCCCCGGGTGCTGTGCCCTGCAGACACGCATGGCTCTCACCCACCTCTCCTCGCAGCTACGACCGCCCCGGTGCCGCCTTCTCCGTCGCAAGGAGGGACCTGAACGCCACCTTGGAGACGGGCGACGTCTCCGAGCTGCGAGGGTGAGTCCCACTTCCTTGTCGGCAGGTCTCGTCCGCACCTCCGGGTGCTCAGGCTCCCCACCCCCACCCCGCACACACTGGCGGCCGTGTGGTCCCTGGTCCTGTGGCCTCTGCCTTTCGCATGGGCATGTTGGCCAGTGACCGTCACCCGGTGTCACCGTGTCAGCCACGTCTGTCTGTCTGTCTGTCCACACTCTCAGCCCTGCAGTGGGGGGCTGACCACACGGAACTCTCCGAGGTTCGGCTGAGGTCAGTGGGGAACGGGGTCGGCGGTGACCGTCGGGCCGGCGTCCAAGTGACTCCGCTGCCCAGTCTGCAGGCCCTGCTTCCCCCGGTTGTCCCCAGAAGTGCCCCCTTTCGGGTGACAAATCTGGAGTGCCCTCCTCCGCAGCCGCCGTGCGGGTAGAACAGGCGTGCCGGGTCTGAAAGGTGCGTTTCCCGGTGTGGGGGCTGAGACGTTCCCTCCCTCACATCCGTGTCATGGGGACGCCAGCGTGGTTACTGACCAGTTGTCAGGAGCTGGTTCCTCGTAGACCAGCAGGTGGGGCTGATAGTGATCAGTCAGTGACACCACCGAGGCTGCCCTGCGAGCCCCTCTTCTGGGTGTGTGCACACGTTAGCCGGTGTACGTGTGTGAGCACCTGTGTTAGTCTGTGTGCATGCACGTGTTAGCCAGCCATGCACCCATGTTAGCCCATGCACATGCATGTGCAGGTGTGCTAGCCAGCGTGGGGAGCACTGCCGGCCTCTGGCCGCACCTCTGTGTCAAGACCGACGCCCTCAGTCCTGCTCCTTCGTTCGCAGGCGCCCGGCAAACCCGCTCCCCGGCGCCATGGTGGCGGTCTGTGCGCTTCTGTACATCCTCCTGGCCGTGAGGGGCCGGCGCGTGGACCGCCGGGAGAGGAGGCAGACCGGCCGCGTGTTCCTGCAGGAGCGCGTGCCGCCCGGGCACCAGCTGTACGCGGTGGTCGTGGACACCGGCTTCCGGTCTCCAGCCTGCTTCACCGCGAAGGTGTTCGGGCGCCCCGGGCGACGGGCTGTCCCTGACGGGATCACCGAGACTCTGGGAACTGGGCTGTGCTGGTCCGGTCGTGGGGACCCGGCACCTGCCACCCAGAGGGAGGCCTCGGGAGACAGGGCGAGCACGGCCCCCACCGGCTTGGGCGGCTGGCCGGCAGTGTGGGTGGCGGTGGTTTTCCCGGGGTTCCTGGCGGATGCTGGCGAGGGGCGCGGACAGGTGGCCTGAAGCGGCGGGGTGTGGGGGACGGGCCGCGGCCGCGTGCAGGCCCCGTGCGGGCGGCGCCGCAGAGCCCGTCCCAGCCACCCGTGGGTGCTGCGAGCCTGCCCGGTCCCCCGGGAGGGCGGGCCCTCCTGGTGCTCAGAACTCACTCTCGGTTCTCAAGTGTGTCTGCAGTGCCCCCCGCCCGCCCAGCGCCCCCAAGTCCTCCAGGCCCTCGTACCCACCCTGGGCTGAGGGGGCACTGAGGTGGGGGGCCGGTGCTTGAACTCCCACCCCCGTGTCCTTGTGTCGAGGTTTACGTTGTCTTGTGTGGTGACAACGGACTCTCGGAGCCCAGAGAACTCTGCTGCCCGGGGAAGCCCCTGTTCGAACGGAATTCCAGGCACACCTTCGTCCTCAGGTGTCCGGACCTTGCTGTCTGTGCAGTTGGGGAGACGGGCCAGGGAGGGCTCGGGGGGCTGACGGCACCCACACACTCTGGCAGGGACCACGACCCCACACAGTGACACTCAGAAAGGGGCGGACGGAGGGAGGAGTTCTTTACGTGCCAGGAAGTTCGTGATCACGGCGGCACCGCTTACAGGGGTTGGTTCTGCCCACACACGGGTGAGCCAGGTGCCAGGTGGCGTGGAGACGGGGGCTGGAGGCAGGGGCTGCCCCCGGTCAAAAGCGCACCTGTGTTGGCGGGAAAGGAGAGACAGCTGTGTTCTCCCGGAGACGTTTGCTTCCAGGGTTTGCGGTGGGGCTATTGGGTGTCAGCCCCCCATTGAGACCGACGGGGAACTGTGGGCAGATAGTCCCTACCAGAGGAACCCCAGCAAGGGGGGAGGGGCCGGGCTGGGAGGTGCTCCGGGGTCCTGGCTCCGGGTGGCCGGGCACCTGTGTCCCGTGACTCGAGGGGCCTGTGGGGTTCACCCCCAACCCCCTGTGTCCCCCTGGGGCCTCATGTGTCACTCTGTCTGCCAACGGGCCCCACCCACTCCCGTGGCTGATGGCCCCCGTGCGTCCTCAGCACCCCGGCCCCGCTGGGCCCGCTCCGGAAGGTCCGCCTGTGGCACGACAGCCGCGGGGCCTCTCCTGCCTGGTACGTCAGCCACGTGATGGTGCAGGAGCTGCACGCCGGACGGGGGTTCGGACGCGGCTGGTTCTTCCCCGCCGAGTGCTGGCTGGCCGCCGGCCGGCAGGACGGCCGCGTGGAGCGGGAGCTGGCCTGCCTGCGCGGGGGCCTCGGCTTCTGGAAGGTAGGCGACACCCTGTCCCGCGTGGCCACCAGTGGGACGCAGTGTCCAGCTCTCCCAGTCCCCAGCTCTCCCAGTCCCCGTGCGCCGTGGTGCTGGGCCAGCCCCTCCCGGGCACTGCTCGTCCCGGCCCGTGAGACCGGGCACACGTTTGTCACTGTGTGTCTGCGGAAGGGGCCTGGGGCACCAGCTCCTCTGTGGGCCGGACTTCTGGGCTCCCTGCATGCACCCCGTGGCACCCACTGCAGGGGGCCCTCACCCCTGGCTCTCGGGGTGCTCACAGCAGGGGGCCCCCCCGGCTCTCGGGAGCTCACGGCCCCGGGAAGTTCAGCTGCGCTGGGCAGAGAGCTGCGGACGAGGGGTTTCGAGGGCACCGGGTCCCCAGGCAGAGACGCGATCGTCCCACCGGGCGAGGGCTTGTGAACGGCGGCGGCTCTAGAGCGGCGGCGCCCACCTCTCGGCGTCTCCGGGCCGCACGTTAAATACATCGTGACTCGTCATCACACAAAAACCTCGTAATGTTTTCAGCGAGCTTACGGTTTTGTGTTGGCCCGCACTCACAGCCGTCCTGGGCCGCGGGCAGGCTGCGGGCAGGCTGCGGGTTGGACACCCTGCTCCAGAGAAGGGTGTGGGGACACTCGAGGGTGGGACGGGCGAGGGGGGACAGGCAGGGTGGGGGACGGGCGCCCCAGGGCTCCAGGGCCGTGGGCGGTGGGGCCGATGCACTGGGAGCTCGGAGGGGCCCAGGGGCTGCGGACACGCCGGGGCCGAAGCAGCACAGACCGGTTGTCGGCGCAGAAGATCACTGGTGTCGGTCGCTGTTGGTTCCGCGCTGGTTGGTGCCAGTGAGCGCCTCTCGCGGTCCGTTCCAGCTCCTGTACTCCAGGTCCACGGAGCTCCTGGAGGACTTCCATGTGTGGGCCTCCGTGCACAGCCGGCCGGCCGGCAGGGGCCTCCCGCACACGCCGCGCCTCGGCGTGGCCTTTGCCCTGCTGTGCGCCCACGCCTGCCTCGCGGCCCTGGTCACTGCCGCGGGACACGAGCAGGTGGGCGCACTTCCCGGAAGTGGCTTCCCAGTCCCAGGGCCGCAGGGGGCAGCTTGTCTCCGGAGTTAGCGGGGGTCACGGTGCACGGAGGCGGCTGACGGCAGGGGAGGGAGGGACCCGCGTGCTCCAGGCCACTTGTGGACAAGACCAGTGGACACGGCCACGAAACCTGTGGTGGCCGCTCCTCCGAGGTCGACCAGTTGTCTGACCTTCCCTCTGCTGCTCTGTGCACTGGGGACACTTTGGGGACACTGGTGGCCCCTCGTCAGATGGCAGCGAGGGTTGAGCCCACCCTGTTCACCGAGGGCCTGGCGTCCAGCAGGCGCTCGGAGACCGTTGGGTTTAAAGGGATCCGAACCGGAGAAAAGCGGCGGGAGTTCTGCCGCCGTTTCCCCTTCGTCCCTGAGGTGGGCGGGTGGGACTCGGAGAACACAGCCCCCACACTCACATGGACCATGTGCGTGGTCACACACGGCTGTGCTCTGAGCCACGCGGGCTCCGGGCGACCCGCGCGCTGCTGTCGTCGCTGCAGCTCCTGCCCGGGGCCGGCCCCGCCGGCGTGCCCCTGGGGCTCTTCCGGACCAGCTTCCTGTGCACCCTCCTGGCGACCCCGGGGGCTCAGCTCCTGTCCCTGCTCTTCCGGCTCAGCCAGGTACCACCCCCCAGTCCGGCCTGCGCGGCCCTGACCTGGGCGGGACCCCGGGACCCTGTCCTGAGCCCTGTCCTGAGCCCTGTCCTCACCCCGCAGGAAGCCCGCGGGCCCCGCCGAGCGCAGCCACCCCCGCCCCTGAGAGCAGCGCCTGCCGAGGCACCTCCAGGTGAGCCCACGCCTCCTGGGCCGGAAAGGTGGGCGTTGTCTGTCGGGGAGTCGCACCGAGAGGAAAGCGGCCGAGTCAGAACGGGAGGGTCAGGCGCTGTCCCGTCGCGCTGACCCTCTGTGGCCCGTCCAGGGGGTGGCGCTGGGTCTCCTGCCTGCTGTGTGCCCCGGGTTCACTCCGAGGGACCTTCAGCTTCACCTCCTGTGTTTACGAGGCATTTAAGGGGGTCCGGGCCCCGCCCAGGGGGCAGCGTCCCTGCCGCACGTCCCGAGTCCCAGGAAGGCCCGCCCCGGGTGCGGTCGAGGGACACAGGGACAGTATTCCCGAGGAGAGGGCCCTCCCCGGAGCCCCGCCCCCGCTGCCGTGTCACAAGGCCGACCTCCCCACTCAGGCCCCGGTCCCCAACGAAGGACACCGCAGGCCCGGACGCCACCCAAGGTGAGCCCAGGCCGGCGGTCAGTCCTGAACACCCGACGGGGGCGCGTCCCGGCTCCTGTCCCGGCCGCGGTCTGGCCCCCAGGGTGGGACGGAGTCGGGCGGCCTACCGTGCGGGTGCTGTAGACCCGGGAGGCCGGCGCCCGGGCTGGGCGCCCGTCGGGCCGGGCCCCTCAGTCGCTCCTGGGCTACGGGGGGACTTCTGGGCGTCTGTGGAGCGTGTCCGGCAGGCCTGTGCCTGAGCCCTCGGTCTCCGCCTCCCTGCTCAGAGGCCGGCCCTGGGTGTGACTCGGACGCCCGGGCCCGGTTTGCAGGCCGGCTTTCGCCCCCACACACGGGCTGGCCCCTGCCCTGCGGCCCCGCCAACCGCCCTGGGTCGGAAGCCCCTCGGCGGGTCCTGGACGCAGGTGCGTGTTCAGGCTGGCTGCGAGGAGTCGCCAGTAATCAGCGCCCCCTCTCGTCCCCAGGCTCCCCACGGCCCTGGGGCCCGGGCCTGCCTGGGGCCTCCCCTGGGACCCCTCCGCCGCCCGAGGCCCGCAGCCCGAGGACGTGGGCCGGGCCGGGCCCTCTCCCGAGGGCTCACGAAGGTGCCACTGTGGAGGGCGCCGTGTTCCTCGGGCCACAACCTCATCCTGATCTTGTCTTTTCTAGCAAAACGCAACAGCCACTGTTTCCAGGGCTGTCCAGGCCCCGAGCGCAGCCAGCGGTGACGGGGCGGGCCCCCCGCCCCCCGACCTGGAGGCCTGCAGGGCTGACCTTGGCCAGCGGGCTCCGAGGGAGAGGAGTGGCCACTGCATCCTCGGTTCACAAGGTGACGTGGGGGTGGGGGGGGTGCCTGTGTGGCCCCTTCCTGCCACATCCCACACTGGCCACTGGAGGGGCGCTGGGGTGCAGAGGGGCACCATGTCGGGCCCAGCCCAGGGCCCCCGGGCCAGAGTTCTCACAGTCCCAGGGCGCCGGCCGTGGTCACTGCTCTGAGGACAGTGGCTGGCAGGGCCTGGGCTGATGGCCCGAGGAAGAAACTCGGGTTCAGTTCACGTCCAAAGACTGGAAAGGTCAGCGTCTCAGCCCAGAGGCCACCAGGCGGAGGGAGCTCCCTCAGTGGGGACGCTCCGCCTCCTTGTTCTGGTAAAGCCTTCGCCTGGTTGGGCGAGGCCCACCCACCCCGAGGAGGGCCATCCGCGTCACTCGGTGCGCTGGGCCCCGTGTTCAGCCCAGGACGAGGTCAGCTGAGGGTCTGCACACCCTGTGACCCAGTGAAGGCGACACACACAACTGACAACCGCCCTGAGCGCGGACGGAGGTGACAGTTTCGCTCACACCCTTGCTCTGTCCTCCGCTCCCCAGCCCCCGGCCATGCGTCTGAGGGACTCGCCGCATCCCGGCGGCCCCGGGGGCCACCGCCGTGGCTGGGCTGGGCAGCGTGGGCCGTCTGCGGGATGGTCGCCATGGCCTGTGGCTCGGGAACAGGACTCCTAGGCTACAGGTGAGCCGTGAAGGTTTGCAGACGTCCTCTTCGGACGGCGCGTCTGCCGTTGACGGGAAACACTGTGCTCCAGGGGACCTGCAAGGTGCGGCTCAGGCGGGGCTGGTGCTGCCTCGGCCCCCATGGCCCCCCCACGGCCCAGGGTGGAAAGCATCCTGTGCCGACCCCAAGGGAGTCTGGGCCCTGCTGTTCCGGGGGTGGAGGCCCAGCCTGATGGGTCCCAGGTGTTATGAGAGGTCACGGGACCCTCACCCCCGGCAGAGGGGAACGGGGCCGCTGAGCTCCCATGAGGGCGAAGGCCGTGTCCTTGAGGGCCTGTGGCCTGCATCTGTCACTGCACCTGTGACAGGTGTGGCTGGGCAGTGTCACCGGTCGGACGCCGTCCCACCACACGCCTGCCTTGGCCTGGTCCCCGCACAGCCCAGGTCCCTCCTCAGCGACCCCAGTCACTCAGCGTGGCTCCAAGGGCCCACGGCGTCCTAACCGTGATGGGAGCACTGGTGACAGCACCCCGTTTCGGGCAGAGTGGGCGCTGCTCTCCTCGCGAGCCGGCACCATGGGCCCGGGCCCGCAGACACGCAGACACACAGTGCGTTGTCGTCACAGCCATGGCCACCGCCTCGCCCGTCCCGGCTGTCCTGTCTGTGGGTCCCTCCCTCTCCCACCAGGCAGCTTCAGGGTGACGGACGTCCCTCTGAGCGGGAAGAGACCCCGCCCCCTCTGCCAGTGCCCGCCCACCTCCCCCAGCATTCCCCCCCACCGCCCACAGTCTCCTGCGACAGGGGGGACGGTCCAGCCCGGGGCCTGCATGCGTCTCCCCCGCAGGTTCAGCCCCGCGCGGTGTGAGCAGTGGCTGGGCCTGCTGGCCGTCTCTGTGACCTGCTGCGTCTTCGTCACCCAGCCCCTTATGGTGAGAGTCCCGTCTCAGGGCCGGGAGGGGGCCGGTGGCTCTGTCTGGGGACCTGCTGCTGCTGCTGCTGTTCACGCTCGACGAGGGAGGGGGGCAGGTGGGGCCGTCAGTCTCACGCAGTCCCAGGCACCCCGTGGCTCTCCCACGGCCACAGCGTGGCCACTCGGGGGAGCCGGCAGGCCGGGGCCTGAGGGCGGGTCTCCGAGTGTCGCCACTGGGCCGTGGGGCTCTGACCGGAAGCAGGCCAGCTCCGCCCCGCCGGGCACGGACGGGGACGGGGACCCTGCCGTGTCCTGTGTCTCCTCCCAGATCGGCCTCGCGGCTCTGTGCTTCGCCTGGAAACGGAGAAACGACGAGAGCTTCTTCACCGAGTCTTTACGAGAAGCCACCGAGGGCCTGGACGCCGACCTGGAGGGGCTCTTTCGCGGCCACGCGCCCAGCAGCTGCGACCCCCGCGGAGCTGACACGGTGGAGAGCGTGAGCAGGGTCCGGGGTCTGCGGCGGTCACTGAGGCCGGGGCGCCGCGCCGTGGCCATGCGTGGGTGTCGGGGTCACACTGGGAACCGGAGCCCGGTTGCGTTTCTGCAGCCCCGGGGGTCACGGGGGTCATGTTAGTTTCTCAAGCTCCTTTGCACACACCTGAAGGGCGAGCTCGCAGGGTCCGCTCCCTTAGCTTTGCCCAGTCACGGAGGAAGCAGACCACCGAGAAGCCGGCTTGTTGTGAGGCCCTGAAGCAAAGGGGAGGTGGGACTCTTGGCTCCGGAGTTGGAGAAGCTCAGCCGTCCGCATTGGAGCGTGCACACAGAAAACCCTCCCCCTCCCTCCCTTCCTTCCTTCCCCTTTCCTTCCTCCCTTCCTCCCTTCCTTCCTCCCTTCCTTCCTCCCTTCCTTTCTTTCCTTCCTTCCCCCTTCCTTCCTTCCCCCTTCCTTCCCGCTTCCTTCCCACCCTGTGGGCGGCGGGAAGGAAGAGGAGGGTGTGTTGGCCCATGAGGCAGCACCCAGGCCTGCTGCTCCCTCGGGGCCCGTGACTGCCTGGGCTTCGGGTGCTCGTGGGGGCAGCTGTGACCACGGAAAACCAAGGTCGTCTCTTGCTAAGACTGTCCGCACTTGGGGGGTCTCGAAGGGAACTAACTGCCCTGTAGCTGGGCGGTGGCCCAGCTGGTCCCTGCCCGAAAGGCCGCTAGGGATGGGACGAGAGGCAAACAGTCCAGCCGCCCTGCAGCCTGGTGTGCGGGACCCCCACTGAGAGACTGTCCCCGAGGCCCCCAGGTCACTGTGGGGGCAGTGATCCTGCCGTCCTGGGCCCAGTGGGGCTGCTGAGGCCTCACCCCCTTGCTGGCGGCCCCCGGCTCACGGCGCTCTCACCCCCACAGGCCTTGGCCGCGCGCCAGCGAGCTCGCCGCCTGCGCTGGGCGCGTCCCCCGTCCACAGCCCGGCTCAGGGCCGCCCGGGAAAGGATGAGGCGGCAGACCCGCGCCCGGGAGGTGCTGAGGTGGGTGGGCCGCGCTCTGGTCCCGCGGTCCTTGCAGAGCGCCCTGCCGGCATCCGGTGGGGGAGCGGGGGTGGGACGCCTCGCTGGCCCCAAAGCCACGCCATGTGCCCAGGACATGAAAACGACCAGAGTCGCCCGAGTCCTGCAAGGACCAGCGGCCCAGAGGCCATTCACTTTAAAAGTGGTGTGGGGAAATTGGGTGTCCGTGTGGAAAAAAATAAAAAATGTCTCTCCACACAGACGCCGCCCCTGACACGGGGGCACCCGCCCAGGGGAGGAGGAGCCACCTCCCCACTCACTCCACTGGGTCTCCCCCGAGGGGCCGGGGAAACGCTCACTCTCAGTGTGGTCCCCACAGAGACGCCGGCCTGGCCGCCCTCACGCTGGTGCTGCACCTGTGCGTGACCCACGGGGCGGCCCCCTGGGGCGAGCACGCTCTGCACCGCGCCATCCGGGACGCCTTCGCCAGGTAGGAGGCGTGGGCCAGCCTCTCCGGCCCCAGAGGATGTGTACGTGGCTGCGGGCGGCCACGACTGGGGTGCCCACCGGGCGACCGCGCTCTGTTACGTGGAGCAAATCGAGGGGAGGGGCGCCCTGGACCACCTAGTTGTGACGCGTCCCCGGGGAGGATGCTCTCCACGCCCCCCAGGGGAGGTGCGCAGAGGCCGTCGTCCCCTCGGGGTCACCCGTCCCCGCTCTTCCCCGGAGGCCCCCATCCCTGGACCGCGGGAGCGTTCTTGGCCTCTCGTTTCTGGGACCCCCGGGCGTTCCCAGGCCTGGGGGCCGTGACGCTGCTAAGAACAGGGAGTTGGGTGGTCCCATTTGCAGGGACAGCGGAGTCCTTCAGTCACAGGCCGGTGGGCTCCAGGGGGTGACACCACGCCACGCAGCTGTCGGCTCCACGCCAGCCCCACACCGGCCCCACGCCGGCCCCGTGGCCTCTCGGGCGTGCACGCACTCCTTCCACCGTTAGGCGTGCAGACGCTCGTGGTGGGCGGACGTGGGAGGACCCATGTGCCAGGCCGCGTGTCCTGCCCGCGCATGACCCGTCTGAGGCTGAGGTGTCCGGCTCTGCCTTCTGGCTGGTGCGACCCACGGTCGTGGCCGGCAGTGCCGGGCGCGGTGCCCGCTTGCCCTTTCTGGCGGAGACTTACACACGTCCCGCAGCTCTCCTGGGAGCAGGCGGCCTTTGACGGAGTCACTCACTCTGATGTGGAGTTTTTGGTGGGCTCCTTTGGCACAGGCAGGGGGCGGGCAAATGCATTCAGTAGGATCTCTTATGTAAGAACGTTCGTTTTGACCTTCTGCCGGAGCAGGTGACGGACAGCCACCCAGGGGAGAAGGCAGGCAGGTTTCAGGCCCCCTGGTGGGGTAGGGCCCCCCCGCCCGGGGGCAGTCTGTCCGTCTGGAGCCTCCCCGGGGAGTCCGCTGGTCAGCCGCCCCCCCCCCCGTGCAGGGCAGGGCGTGCCAGCAGGGGGCGCTGTGCGCACGACCAAGCCCCAACGTGGGCGGCTCTCTCTGGCGCCCCCGGAGGCAACCCGGGGAAGTGCTGGCTTCGCCGGCTTACCTTTCCCCTCCCGTCCTGTGAGTGTGCCTCCCGGTCCCGACAGCAGCGGTGTGGCAGCGGAGCCCACACCTGTGCGCTGGCCGGGTGTGCGGGGCAGGGGGCAGGGGCAGCCCCTAGGACGCCGGCCTCGCCGCAGACCCGCCCCCAGAGCCTCATGCGCGTGCCAGCCGCTCCTGGGGGTCCGGCACTTGCCTGCGCCCCAGCAGGAGCGGCGGAGCCAGGAGGGGTCCAGGGGGAGCGGCACCGGACGCCGGGAAGTGCGGCCGTCCGGCTGCTGGGGGTCCCGCCCTTGAGCCAGAGAGGGTCACGGTGCCGGCTCTCCCACGGCTGACTTCTGTCAAAGTCTTTCCCAGCTCGGTGGAGTCCTCACGGAACTCCGGGTAGAATCGTGAGCCCCCGACGAAGCAGCAGCAGCACGTGGGACAGCCGCCCTGCTCTGCCTCGCTGCCCCGCCGGGACCGGCCCCTCGGGGGTCCCTGGGCCCGCCCCCGTGGCCCTTGAGCGGTCTGTGCTGAGAGCGGCGGCCTCGGGCCGGAGTTCGCACCTGCCGGCTCACCTGCGTCTCCTCCCCGCTTCCTCTCCCAGCCGCTGTCGCCGGCAGGTTCTGCTCATTTGTCCGCGCGCGGTTCCCACGAGCCCACGCGTTGGCTTGCCTGCGTCCTGGCGGCGCCGGGAGGGGCAGGAGCCCGGTGGGCGGTGCTCACGCAGGTGCGCGGCGGGGCGGAGGAGCCCCCGCCGGGACTGAGCGTGCTGTTCCGCCCTCCTGCCCGCCTCCCGGGGGCCAGGAGCGGTGCCTGCGCCGCCCCTCACGCTGCAGACCGCCTGGAGTTCGTCCTGGAGGAAGTGACGTCCTGTTTCTGTTCTTGGTTGAGAAGCACCCGGAGCGCCGTGGGCGGCCTGAGCGGCGTGGACGCCTGGTGGGCCTGGAGCCTGAGCACGCTGCTGGACGGCCTGTACCCGGCCAGCGGGCCGGCCGCCGCCGCCGGCCCACCAGGTGCACAGGTGGGCTTCCCTCTGCTCCTGACCACCCACCACCGTGGGGCGGAACCGTCAACGGCGCATCCCATTCCCTCCCTTCGCCCCTCCCCTCCTCTCCCCTCTTCTCGCTGCCAAACTTCCCCAGGTCCCTGTGTTTGCTGGGGGAGGGCGGGTGCTGGGCGCAGGGCGTGGCCCATCCACGGAGCCTGTGGGCCGGTGGCTCTGAATGCCACGTGCTGTGGCACAGGGACGTGGGCCCCTGGGGACAGAGGAGAGCAAACAGCTGAGATGGAGGCATCAGAACCTTCCAGAAAAGGCCCAGGCTTGTCTTGGGCTCCGAGGACAAAGTGGCCAGTGCACCTGCGTCTTGTGCACCGACCCTAGTCCTTGCCTCTAGTTTCCTCCTCCGGAAACACGGCTCCGTCCGGCACGCCTCAGGCGCAGTGGGTCTCGCACTACCAGTCGTGGGGTGGCCGCGTGATGTGGGAGAGATAGTGGCAAAGATGAAAAGGGGTCACCTGGGCCGGCAGAGACTGGGGAGGTGGCCTCTGTCTCTCTCCGGATGTCGGTTAATCCTGGGGGTGTCGTGGAAGGACAGCAGGGGTCGGGCTCGGCTCTGACCCTCTGATGGGGGTGCGGGCTATGCCGGGCACCCCAGGGTCATGGGCTCTGCGTCCCCCTCCCCCCTGCAGCCCGGCGCGCTCGGAGGGAACTGCTACCTGCTGGCCATGCCCGTCCTCCGGCGGCTCAGAGCCCCCCCTGGGAGCCCATGCGAGGTGATGCGCTCTCTTCCTCGTTACTTCCAACAACCCGTCGCAGGGGAACAGTCTGGGCGACCTTGGGCAGGAGGGCGCAGGCTGTGGCACCGTCTCTGGGAGCCCAGCTCGGGGGCAGGGGGGCCAGAGCCCACACCTCCCCGAACATGCCCCCTGCTCTGGGCCCTGCACACGTCCAGGGCGCTTCTGGGCAAAACCAGAGCGGCACGGACCTTGTCCCAACGGGAGGGCGTGTGTGTAGACGGCACGTCCCCTGGACAGTCTGTGACGGAAGCTCCAGACGTCCCGGCCCCGACTGGGGTCACCCAGATGCCGCCTTTTGGAGGGGGTGGGGCTGCTCCTGGAGCTCGAGCAGGATCCCAGGGGCCGAGTGGGGGGCGCTGTGTGAGGCCGTGTGGGGCCGAGGGGCAGGTCAGCGTGTGAGCCCCTGCGCGGCCCGGCTCGGACGCCCGGGGCGGAGGGCGGACGCTGAGCCACACGCCTGCCCCTGCTCCGTTCTGTTGGCTCTGCAGCTTCCCGGGCCGCTCTCGGCGCCCACCGAAGACCCACTGCCTGCGCATCGCCCTGAAACCCCCTCCGTGAGCGACGCCGAGGCCCAGGGAGCGGCCCCGAGGGCCCCTGAGGCCTGCGGGGAGGGCTGTGAGCTCTGCCTGGGCAGGACCAGGTCAGTGTGCGGAGGGTCGGCGCATCCCCGCTGGCCCCTGCTCGTCGCTCTGGCACGCCCAGCGGGCGCGAGGTACACACCCGCCCCCGAGGACGCCAAGGCTGGTGTCCCTGCGCCACGACCGCAGACGCAGCAGGAGTCGGAGGAACCGGCAGGGCCTGGGCTGGCCACGGCCCCGCCGCACGGCGCCCACCCACACTCTCGCGTGCTTTGCAGGCCAGCGGCCCTCGCAGCCCTGACCAGCCTCCGGGCCCGGCGGTGGGTGGACCGCTGCACCCGCGCCGTGTCGGTGCACTTCGCCCTCTACAGCCCCCCGACCCGCCTCCTCTCCAGCGTGTCCCTGAGCGCGGAGCTTGACCCCGCCGCCGGGAGCCTCGCCCTCTCCACCCGGGTGGAGTCCGTGTCCGTCTTCCACAGCAACCCCGCCCCGAGGTTCCGCCTCCTGCTTCCCCAGGTGGGTTCGCCGGCCACTCGGCCACTCGCGGAGCCCAGGGCTCCACTGGACCGGCCACGCCCACCAGATGGGCCTCGGGCCTGCCCCTCACCTGCCCTGCACCCAGACCCTGCCGTGGGCACAGAGGTCAGAGTGTAGAGTACGGATGTGGGGCATGATGTGCTGTCCACACGACGCCCCATTCCAGTCCTCCTCCCGGGGTGTGGGACCACAGCGCCTGGTGCGGGGTGGCTGCACCCTCCCTTGTCCCCAGGGGGAGGGCGGAGGGTCCCGAAAGGGGCTTTTGTGGAGTGAAAGTGCTGACCGGAAGGGTCCCTGGGGTTCCACAAGGCCGAGTGACCTCAGACAGGACGGTCCGCTGTTGCTGAGCACTGTCCCCTTACACTCGCAGCGGGCGAGCGAGCAAATGAGCAAGGGAGTGAGCAAATGAGTGAGCGAGCGAGTGATGGCGTGGACGGACAGATAACCCCTGGGTGCCGAGAGGCCCAGACACGGAGCTTTAAGGAGTGTTCTCCACGCAGGGCCCTGGGGCTGAGGGCACCTGCCAGGTGTCTCCCGCACCCACGGAGGTTCCTGCTCCCGAGTGTCGTGGGGAAGGACGGGGCTGGCGTAGGGACAGGAGACCCCCCCGGGGAGGGTTCCACAGAGGCAGGCCCACCTGTGTCCCTGCCGCCCTTGGTGGGGGTCTCTGGGAGCTGGTGGGTGCAGAGGTTCAGAGAACCCCAGCCCTGCGAAGACCACTTCACCCTGAGGCCCCGCACGCCCGGAGACCAGCTGGGACCAGGCCCGCCCTGGGCGCCGGCCGGGAGTGGGGGCCTTCGCACAGCCGAATCAGAGCCCGTGGCGTCTCGTTGTCTCGCCCCCGCAGCTGGCCCTCCTGGCGCTCACCCTGGCCCACCTGTGCCTCCAGCTGCACGGCCTGGCGGAGGAGGGCGTCCGCGGCTACTGGCGGCGGCCCGGGAACTGGCTGGAGGTAGCCCCTCTGTCGTGTCTGCCCACGCTCGCGGCCGCGGCCGCTGTGCTGGGAAGCAGTTTGCGCCCCTGCTCCCGGGGCTGGAGGCCACACCAGTGCCGGGCGGCACTGAGAGCGGCCATCCGCCTGCTCCCGGGGGCCGCAGCACAGCAGCCTGTCCTCCAGCCCGCCTGACGCCCCCTCTCTGCACCTGGCAGCTGCCCATCGCCGGAGCGGGCCTCGCCTGGTTCGCAGCCCACGGCCGCCTGCTCTCCCTGACTGCAGAGGTGGCCGACCAGCTCCAGCGGGGGCTCCGGCCGGGGTCTGTGGACCTCAGTCACGTGGCTTCATGGGCTCAGGTACGGCAGGCGCTCTGGCCACACACACACACAGGGCCCTGCTCTGCAAGGCCGCCCAAAGGAAGAGCTCAGACATGTTCCGGAAGGTTCCAGACCAGGGGGCCGTCCCGCATTGAGTGCTGATGCTCTGAGCTCTCGGGCGACGCCCCATGGAGGGCCTGGGGTCCTCAGAACGTGGGTCGCCAGCCAGGGTGCTGGTAAGGTGGGTAGAGCAGAACCGGGGAGCAGGGACCCCACCCCGATGGTGCGACCCCAGTGGTGGAAGGAAGCAGGACTTGACACAGAATAATGTAGAAACGATAATGTGACAGATGTAATCGTCTAGAGAAACTATATCACGAAATCAGTGTCACCTGTCTACAAAATGTGGTGACTAGAAACTGCTCTGCTCCACCTGTCGGTGGGAGCAGCGGGCCCCTGGGCTGGCCCCGGGCTGGGGTGGTTTGGCTGCTCGAGGTCGAGGTCAGCCTTGACCAGTGAGTGAGGCGGCACACAGGACAGGAAGTCCTGGTCCCCTGTCCACGGGACTGCAAGTCTGGTGGCGTTTCTCCCCTCTGACTTGTAACCGTGGTGAGGACAGATCTGCTCACGCACCCCAGAGGGCTCTGCAGCGAGCCCGCCTGTAGAAAGGCGAGCGGCCCCCGCAGGTCCCCGGCCACGGGCCAGTGTGCCCGACCTGGATTCGGGCGGCCGGGCAGCCCGCGGCGACTTCTGCAGCCTGGAGGCTTTGCCCGGTCCTCTCGCGCGCCCGAGCCCCCAGTGCCGTCCGTGTGAACGGAGTGCAGCTGGTCCCCACGCAAGGCAGACTGTGAAAATGCGCATGAGGAGCAGACATGCACGTGCAGGCCGGAGGCCCCCACAGGCAGGGGGTGCTCCCTGCGGCCCCAGGCGGCCCCGGGCTTGTGCTGCCCTGTCACCCGAGGCTGTGGCAGGGCGTGTGGCCCGGCCCTCGGGGACCTGCATGGGCCCGCCCTCCGCAGGAGCGGAAGGTCAGGTGTTGCTTCCGAAAGGCATTGCGAGCCCCTCTGGCCCTGCTCTGATGCCCTCCCGACACGGGCCCGCAGGGGCGAGTCCACCTGTGTGCGCCCGTGCTCACGTGACGCCCGGCCCTGCTGTGCTTCTGCCGCAGAGGGCGCGGTGGCTGCAGGGAGCCCTGTCCTTCCTCCTGGCCCTGAGGTGCCTCCGTCCGCTCGGCTGGCAGAGCGCCACGGCGTCCCGCTCGCTCTCGGGCCTCCTCCCACCAGCGGTGAGTCCCCGCCACCCTCCCCCTGCATGGAGTTACCGCCCGGTTAGCGTCCGTGAGTTCCCCTCAGCGAGCCTTGACGGGGTGGGCATGCCACCCCGGATGCAGAGCCCCTTCCCCTCAGCTGGTCTTACACCCCCACATCCACACCACAGGGACAACTCACGGGCGTGGGTGCCACCCTGCTCCGCACGCTCCGTGGCTGGGTGCGGGTGCTGGTGCTGGTACTACGGACGTGCGCAGTCCTCACGGCCCCCGGGCGCTGTCTAGGCGGCTCGGCCCCTCCCCCGCGGTGTGCTGTGTGGGTGGGCGGGGGAGCGGTGCCCGTCCTGGTCCCGTGACACCACCTGGCGCTCGCAGGCCCGGTCCCCGGTCTGTTGCCACAACCAGGCAAGCAGGCGTCGGAACTAAACTGAACACGAGGGGGCTCTTTCCCAGCCTTTCCCCGGGGGTTCCTTTAGCCGAGCCCCTGCGGGTGCCCCTGGCAGCAAGCGTGGCCTCCAGCGGCTGCGGCATGCGGATGGCCCAGGACCAGGAGAGGGGGCACCGGGACTGGACGCCTGGGACGGGGGTGGGCGGGCAGGGCTGGTGGGGGGCCTGGGACGGGGGAGGGGCAGGGCTGGTGGGGGACCTGGGACGGGGGAGGGGCGCCGGCCCTGCTGCAGCTGAGTCCTCACACCTGGCTGATGCTTCTCCGAGGCGCTCCTCATCGTGAAGCACTCAGAAGCCACACCTGCGTCTGGGGTTCCCGTGGCCCGGCGCTCAGAGGTCAACCTGGCAGGTTTCCTCCCTGCAGCTGGCCGGGACCCTGGTGCTGGCCGCCCATGCCCACCTGCGTGCAACTCTGCTCTTCGCCCGGGCCCCACCATCCGGCACCTTCGCGGAGGCCTTCCAGTGGCCGCCGTTCCGTTTTCTGGGAAGCGGCCAAAAAGGCACCTTCCTGGGCCTCCCCAAGTCTGACCTGCGGGCAGCATCTGGGTGCTGCGCGGCCCTCCTCGCAGCGGGGACGGCTCTGTGGTTTGCGCTGGTGCGTGCCCCCCCCCACTCCAAGGTCCCTGGGGTGAGGGTCCTCGGTGCCCTCACATACCTCCACCCACCAGCCAGACCTCGTGGTCCTGAGTCCCCGAGGCCCCTCTCCTGCGCCCGGCAGGCCTGACCCCAGGTGGCTGGGGGGTTTCAGCGAGAGAGACGACCCGTCCTCCAGGGAGCCGCCTCCTCCCGGAGCCTCCCGGGCCGCAGCGTGGAGCCACACCCCCTCCCCTCCCCCCCCGCCCCTCCTGCTGCTCGGCGGAACACCGGCCGCTTGTCCTGGGTCTCCTTCTCTCTCCACCTCTGAAGGGTCACTGGGTCAGCCGGCCGGCTCGGGCACGTTCCCGGGGCTCGGTGCTGCAGCGGGGCTCCCTGTGTCCCCCCTCCTGCTGACCCGCCACATGCAACCCTCGTCGTGTCACGCACACGTGTGCAAACACGGATGCACACACCGCCACTGGCCCACACCGCTTCAGTGGTTCGGGGTTCACGTCCGCCGCTCTGCTCGGCCCGCTGCCACTTAGTTCCGACCCTGAGAGCGTCCGCTTTTGCGGAGCGGCTGCCGTCTCGTTGACGCGACCCGAAACAGCCTCGTCGGACACAACCCCCCTTACAGTCGAACGGATGGACAAAGCTAGTTTTCTGCTGGATAATGCAGTCTGTCTGTATTTTTTTCCCCCTGCAGCTGAGAGGTTCCCTCCGGGCTTTTACCCCCAAAAGGAAATCTTTCCGACGCCGGTCTCTCGTGACACCAGGAGACCTGACGGCCTACACCTGGGAGCAGGTGCGCTCCGCGCTGGGGCTGCGGAGGCCGGCGCTGCAGGAGGAGGCGGGGCCCGCCGAGAGTCACGTGAGCGCTCATGCCCCGCCCCCGCCGGCCCCCTTGCGGAGCTCTGCTCCCAGTGACGGAAGGGGGACTGGGGGCTGGCCCTGCCGGGCCCAGGGTTTCGCTCCCCGCCCCAGAGGCGGCGCAGCCTCCCCGCCCCTGTTCCCGCTCCCCTGTAGCTCCTTAGAGCCTTGGAATGGCCCTGGGGGGTCAGCCAGGGGGACACGCACCCCCTGCTCTGTCCCGGAGTCACTCGAGTGTTGTCACCGAGACCTGACTCAAACCCAGGCGGGTGTGCACATCCGCGTGGGACGCGGTGCGTGGGGGAATCGAGATGTGCCGTCCAGGCCGGGCGCCCTGCCCCCGGGGTCCTGTGTGGTCGCTAACCGAGCACAGCCACCTGAAGCCGGCACCGGGAAATACTTTGGATGGGGTGGGGGGGGAGAGTTCGGGTCTGGAGGGCGCCTCCCGGGCTCTGCCCCCGCAGGCCTGCCCGCTGGACGAGTTCGCAGGTCTGCTGGACGAGCTCCTGCGGAGGGTCGAGGGCTTGTCCGACAGCCCCCAGCCGCCTCCCGAAGAAGGGCAGGACGCGCCGGCGGCCGGGGCAGAGGGCGACCCCTTGGTGGCAGCTTCTGATGGCGGAGCACCAGGGGTGAGCGCATGAAAATGTACTCTTATCGACTTTCTCCATGTTTTAAGCCAGACCCCCAGCCCCTCCCGGGAAGGGTCCCCCGACGAGAGGAGGCCCTTGTGCGGAAGGGTCGGGCGGAGGGATCGCGCGAACGCGGGGAGCGATCGCGCCCCCTAGTGGCGGAGCGGGCCGCGCAGGTCGGGCCTGGAAAGGTCGCCGCGGGCAGGCCGGCGGGACCAGACGCTTCCGCACAGACGTGCACAGACGGGGAGATGCGCCGCTGTCTCCCGAGCAGGAGGCCGGAGCCCGGGTGCCGGAGCGGAGAGATGGAAGACGTCGGATGAGGACTTGAGGGCGGAGGCCGGGAAGGGGGCGAAGAGGGAAGGGGAAACACAGGGGGCGCGACAGCAGAGTCGGTGCCGGACCCGCGAGGGGGGTGCGGGTGGGCATGGCGGCAGCCGGAGTGCACTCAGCGGGAGGGGAGGAAGGGGCACTGGAGTGGACTGGGGGGAGGGGCGGGCACAGGGTGGGGGAGCGGTTGAAGACGCCGCGCGAGAGAACATTGCTGAAATGAAGACGCAGGTCTGTGTGTTGAAAAAGAAGCCGCACCCCAGGAGAGAAACGGACTCGAATCCGCTGAAGCCAGAACAGACCTGACAGCGTGGCCGCATTGGGAAACAGAGACAACCCCGCTGTCCCCCTGGTGCCTTCCTGGTCCCCGATCGGGACACAGGCCCCTGTGACTGCCGCGTCTCACCTTGGCCGTCCCTACCAGCGACTCGGGGCTTCGGGAAGTGGGCGGGGAGCGCCACCCACCGCTGTCCCTGGCCACCGGCCCATCACTCTGGGGTCTGTCTTTTCCGATTGACCTGGGGCAGCAGCCGCCCGTCTCCTCTCCCGTGATTTCCCAGCTCACCTCCTCCTCCTCGGTGACCCCGGCCCGCAGCAGGAGCAAGGCTGCTCGCAGTGGCCCTCTGAGGGGCAGAGGGACCGTCCCCAGGTGGCTCCCTTCCCAGGTCCGGTGCCATCTTGGCCGGAGCCGCCCGGCCTCGGAGACCGCCCGGCGGGTTAGTGGGGCCAGGAGGGGTTTCCGTGTGGGTCCTGCGGCCTCGCTTTCACGGTCACAAGTGAGTCCTTAAGGCCAGCGCCTGGCTGGGCTTAGCTGCACCGTCCACCTGGGCGGGCTGAGGTCCTTCTGCAAAACCCTCGGGACTCCGCAGCGCCCCCTGCCGGGAGAGGGGCGGGAAGCCCTGTCCAGCCCCGGAAACCGGCTCTGAGGTCCTCACGGGGGGGGGGGGGGGGGATGTCCCTGGGGCTGTGGGCGTGGCCCTGAGAGCAGGCTGGGAAGCGTGGGGGTGGGGGGATGAGATGAGACCCCCCAAGTGGGAGGCAGCTCTGCACGGGGCGGAGCGATCACACTTCTCCGGTGGAGAGACGGCAAAATGACCGTCACCCCTGTGGGACGAGGTTCCTCGGAGGGCCTCTCGGGCCATCCCGCGGTCTAAGTCTGCCCCGGAGTGTCTCCCCGAAGGACACCGCACGCGGCTAATTGGGTGTCGCAGAGCTGTGTGGGCGGGGCTGGCAAACCCGCATCCGACGTGGAAGTAACCAGGCGGGAGTGCGGAGGGAGACAGCCTTCCGGACAGATGTCCCCGGCTCCCGTGGGCGGGCCGTGAGGTCTGCCGCGAGGACTCCCGGGAAGGAGCGTGGTCACAGTCCCCGCGGCAGTCCTTCCCGCAGACGGGGCTGCGGCAACGCCGGCTGCTGTGGCCCAACCCTGTTGTTCGCCCGGCCGCCGGGTGCGCCCGAGGCTCCGTGGGGCCACCCTGGGCTTCTGCTTCCTCCGAGGCCGACTTACTGACCTCGGACCAGGAACCCTGGCTTCTCAGAGACGCCACCGCACTCGCCGGCTTCTGGGGGGTGGGGGGGCGCTTCTGTTCCAGCTTAGGGTTGTCTCACAAGCTCTAGCTACTCCCCAGTGACAAGGAAGATGCGGCGTGAGTGGGCGGGGGCTGCCGGGAGAGCACCGCACGCAGGGACGCACTGTCACCCAGCTCTGGAGCCCCCACGCCCCCTGGGGGGCTGCTCCAGCACCCCCCCACTTCTCAGACCCCTGGGCTGTGGCGGCCTCAGCCCGAGTTTCACGTGGCACATCCCTGTGGCATCCCTCTGCCCAGTGTCCCCTTTCCTACGGACACGGTGGCACCGGCTCAGCACCCACCCTTACAACCTCGTCTGAGTCGCAGGTCTGGGGGCCGGCACTGTGGCGCCTACGGGGGACGCTGCCCAGCCCATGGCGCTCGCATCCACACAGCTGCAGGGGCTGAAGGCAGGGCGGTGTGACGTTCAAATCCGTCCCAGTGCTGAGAGAAATGTCATTCCACTCACCAGACAAAAGCAAACCAAACACTCAGAAAATGTCCCAAACCCTCTATTTTTTGCTCTGTGTGGCAACAAGGTCGGGGAGGTCACCTGGCCTGTGAAAGGATTGTTCCCCCAGTGCCCCGAAGGAAGCGAGTGTCTTCCTCCCAAACCTGGGGACCACGAGCTCTTGAATCCTCAGAGCCGCCGGCTCAGAGCGCCAGGGCAGGGCCCGAACGCCTGGGGGGTGCCGGGACGGCGGCCAGGATGGTGGCTGGGGACGCAGAGACTGTGGGGTGGACAGTCGTCCAGGGTCAGACCCACGCACAGGGGCCCGGCCAGGATTTGGCAAAAGTAATTCGATGGAGGAAGAACAGTGTTGTTGTTGCTCTAATTGCTGACACTCTCACAGGTGTCTCCCGTTTCTCCGAGCGGGAAGGCTGCCGAGGTCCTGCCGGGCAGCTGTCCTGGGTGCTCTCCGGCTGCCCGGGCCCTGTCATCTGTCTCCCGAGATCCGATGGGCCGGACCGCCGTCACGTCCAGGGCGCAGTCTGCCCAGGAGGAGCGTTCCTGGGAGCTCAACACTTGTGCACCTGGTGCCCCGGCTGGTGTGGCTCAGTGGACTGAGCACCAGCCTGCAAACCAAAGGGTCGCCAGTTCGATTCCCAGTCAGGGCACACGCCTGGGTCCCCAGTAGGGGGCGTGTGAGAGGCAACCACACGTTGATGTTTCTTCTCTCCCTCTCTTTCTCCCTCCCTTTCCCTGTCTCCAAAAACAAATAAAATAAAAAATAAAATAAACTTCTGCCCCTGGGATCAACGTCTGTGCCAGTGACCACTCCCACCCCAGAGAGGAGCAGCAGGCGTGCCGCTGGTGCCTTTCAGCTTGTTTCTCCCGGTAGCTGACACTGAGAAACTGCACGCTCCTCAGTGCCTGCCAGACCCCAGCCTGAGTTCCTTACGGACGTGAACCGGCTGAACCCTCGCACAGCCTGTGGAGCCGGTTCCTCGGCACCGCCGCCGCGGCGCTGCCTGGAGGGCGAGGCGGCTGGTCCCAGGTCACGGGCTGCGAGGAGGTGACCTGAGGATGGGCGCCTCTGGGCAGTCCTGCCTGGGTCACACGGGGTCTCAGCCCCCATGGCCTCGGCACCTGGGGGTGCCTCTCAGAACCCCTCCCCGCCCCACGGGACGTGGTCCTGGGCTATTCGTCCTGCAGCTGCTCACACCAGGCCGATCTGGAACATGTCTGGGGAGAGGTTTCTTCATCTCTTCAGCCCTCGGGCACCGAGGACTCGTGCCGGCCCGCTTGGTGCCACGGGCTCACGAGACCGGCCGCCTTCGCACACACACCCGGTCTGAGCCGGCGCCGGCTCCCCCCCACCCCCCGCCCCCTGCAAGGAGCTGGGGGCCCGAGAAGGCACTGGCGGCACCAGCGCACACACACGTCGTGAGAGACTCGGCGGAAGAGGGGTGCGGGTGCCATCGGGCTGTCCCCCCGTCCTCACGCACACACGGCCCCTTCGCCAGCCCCCGAGGGCAGCCCCCGGCGAGCCCCGCACCCGCGCCTGCCTGCCTGTCTGACTGTCGCAGCCCCCGGAGGCCGGGACCGCGCTCTGTGGTGTCCCCTTCTGCCCGTCGAGTCTCCTCCGCGAGGCGGCGCGGAAGTCTGACCCGTGCGGTGACCTGGGCCAGGACAGAGGTCCGGCCGTTCAGTGAGACTTCGACAGCAAGCCCCCACCTGGTAACGCTAACGGTCGGACCCCCGAGACGGGTAACGCTCGCCTCTCCCGACGGACCGACCCGGTGTGAAGTGGTTGTTCAGACTGAACCTTCGAGGCCGTTTACAGCCCCGCCGGCTCAGACCAGACCTCGCGAAGCGGGTTGTTGGATCTGGAGCACACACTCGCGTTTGGGGGCTCGAAGTAGCTTCCAAGGGCCTGGCTGAGTGCGTGCTAGGGGGCCGGGATCAGGGGCCGGGGCCAGGCCCCCGGCAGGGGAGGGTCAGGGCTGCCCCTGGTCCTGGTCCTGGTCCCACAGAACCCTGGGCCCGGCCGTGGGACAGCACAGGGCACGGGGCAGGGTGTCGTCGGAGTCGACGCCGACCTGACCGGAGCGTACACACCAGTCTGCCCGCTCGCTGCTCTGTCTGAGCGAGGGGGGCGGGGGGCGCCCTCGGGGAGCGAAGTGGGCGAGTCACAGGCTGACTTATTCGGGGCTGTGGCTCCTGGAAGTGGCCGTGAGTGCGGAGCGAGTCCCGGCCCCGACTCGCCCTGAAAATGTGGTGCTTCCCGGCCCCTGGGGGCTTCTGAGGGTCCCGTGGGCTCTGACCGCGTCGCCCGGCTGCCAGGACCCGGTTCCGCCCGTGGGGTGAGCGGGGGGCATGGCCCTCGGACCAGATGGCCGCCGACGCCGGGCTGCTTCCGCCGTCGAGTGGGTTTCTGGGGGGGTGGGGGACGGGCCTCTGCCCTCTCGCTGCCCAGTCCTCGCGTCAGAATCGAATCACACCGGGGCGCGCAGGGCCCGGAATTCAATCACCGGCCAAGTTCCTTCGTCACGGGAGGAAACAGTCCCAGGCAAATTAGATTCTGCCTCGTTCTCGTGCCTCGCGCCGGAAAATCTAATCACGTTTCAGGCTAATCAGGGTCATTAGGCCGTGATGGACGAGGCCCCGACGGGACTCGGGCTTGCAGGAAGGGGCTCGCGCCCGCGCACGGTGCAGGGCTGGCTTTCCCGGCCGACCCGGCGAGGGGCAGGGTCCCCGACCACGTGCCGGTTTACAGAGTCCCTAGGGGACCTTCTGTGGACCAAGGGAACCTTCGGATCGGTTCTGAGGGTCCCGGGCGTGACGGCGGCTCTGTGCCCCCCGGGCGAGGGCCTCTGGAGAGGCCCCTTCGGGCGGGAAGGTCCGTCACGCCGGCCGGCGTCTCAGACGGTCCCAGAGAGGGAGCGAGGGAGCGAGGGGACAGGCCGTGAGCGAGCACCCTGGCCCTCCGCGTGTGCGCCCGGCAGTGCTGGGTCGGCGGCGGCCACAAGCCATCCCCCCCATCCCCCCCCCGACTCCCGCTCCCGCACCCCCTCCCGCTCCTGCAGGGGGCAGAGGCCTCGCTCTGCTCCGGTGGGAGAGCACTCTCTCCTCGCCGACTCCCGGGCACCTGCGGGCACCTGTGGGCAGGGCTCTCCCGCTGCCCCAGTCACGTCTGGTTTTGGAAAGGGACGTGAAATTCAGTGCAACGGCCAGCACTGCCCGACGGGCTCCTTGTACGTTGCAGCTGCTACTTTTTCACCTCAAAGGGTTCGAATACTAATCACCGCCATCGGCTCCCCCATCGGTGGGGGGGGGGGCCTGTCTCCAGCAAACTCCGACCTGACGCCGCCCTGAGGAGAGCTGGGACACGGACCGCGGACGCGTGTTTGGACTCAGTGTCCGCGTGTGAACGCAGAGGAACAGCCAGCCCCAGCCCCGGGCCCGGCGTGGCTTCCCCACCGCCAGGGAGCAGCGGTGGCCTGGGGAGGGCCCCGCGCGAACCTGGGGCCTCAGGGCCGAGGGATGACTGCGGCTGGGGAACACGGAGGCTCTTGTTTCCGTTCCCCCGGCCTCTGTTCGCAGCAGCCGGGGGCCCCGTCCCCGCCGACGGAGAGCGCACCGGAAACCATGCCACACAAATCACCTGGGCAGGAAACCGTCGAGGCGAGGCGGCCGCGGCCGCTGCCGCCCCGTCCCACAGCTCCAGGCCCTGCCAGCTCCTGGCTGCCTGGTCTGCAGGCCGGACGGGGTGCGGGGGGCGAAGTGGGGACAGACGCCAGCCGCCCGGGTCAGAAACGGGCGAGGGGCGACGCCGCGCCGTGCCGGAGGAGACGGGCAGGCGCCCGGGCTGAGGCAGTGGGCCGGGAGCTGGCGGCCGGCCCCAGCCGCGGGCCTGGCCGGACGCGCAGTGTGCCTGTGGGCGGGCTGGCCTCCTCTGCGCCCGCCAGCTCCGCGCTCCCACGGTGGCGGCTCCCTGTCCCCGGGGGCTGGCGGGGTGGTGGGGGTCCGTGCTGGCGACAGCCCTGCACCCCGCCGGCCGCGCAGCCCAAGCCCCGGGCCTGCCGCAGGGCCCCCAGGAGCCGGATGTCTCTCTTGCCGCGGACGGCGCTGTGTACACAGCCCCTCGTCACCATTCGGACGCCCAGAGCCGAGGTGACAGGGGACAAAGCCCTCTGCCCCCAGCGCAGGCATCCCTCCCTCGTCGCTGCCGCCACCTCCTCACAGCGTGTGGTCCCCGCCAGAGGGGCAGACGGCACCCGAGAGCCCCCCTGGGCCCCGCGGGACGGCCCCCCCGCCCGACACGGCCCCCAGGGAGAAGCTGGGGCCGTGGGTCCCGCCCTGGACTTGAAGCACTTTGGACTTTCCAGCCGCACAGGCGGTCTGGGGGGGCGGGGGACAGGCCCACGGCCGTGCATGCTCCACATGGCCCTGGCAGCATAAGCTGGCATGGTTTCCCACAGTCAAGTTCAGTCCCACAGGCTGGCCCAGGGGCGGCCCGACTCGGGCCCTTTCTGGCTGCGGGGGCTCCGGAGCCAGACCTGCGGGCCGTCCCACATCCCAGGCAGGGTCCCCGCCCCCAGGGCCAGGGCCTGGGTTGCATGCTGGACTCCGAGCAGTGAGGGTGGCGTGGCACCCCACCCGGGTGGGCAGGGGACTCGGCGAGCTGTCCCCGGACGTGGCCACGTCCCCGGACTCGGCCACGTGCTCACGTGTCCGGCTGGTGCTAGTGCTTTAGGGACGGAAACTGGAGGGGAGCCTTGGGAGGAAAGGGGGGGTTTGAAAGAACCACGTGGGGGGAGGGTCTGGGGGAGTGGGAGGAGTTGACCTCTGAGGCCCCTCCCACCTTCACCTGTGACCTCTGAGGCCCGGCCGTCACCTCCTCGGGGCCTGCACGTCTCAGCTGCTTCACCCCTGGAAAGGCCTGGCGGCCCCTGAGACCCCAGTGTCCAGCACCATCGGGGTGGAAGAGGCATTGGCCAGTGCGTGGACAGAGACAGGGGCGGGCATTCTCGCCCACGGTGCCCCGCAGCCGGCCCGGCACACCTGCCCCCACCTGGCACCCGCTGCAGGCCCAGACGAGGGTCCCGGCCCCCCCTTCCCGCTGCCCCCGCACCCCCGGGGCCAGATCCCAGTGCACCCCGCAGGGGGTTCCCCCAGGCAGCGCTCAGCCCTCCCCCAGGCCCACAGCCCACGCGGTCAGTCACCGAGGGGGAGCCGGGGGAGGGGCGCAGGCCCAGGGAAGTGGAGAGGCAGGGATGAAGGACGGTGTCCCCACTGACCGCTGCCAACTGGGGTCCCCTCCTCCCCCCACGTCGGTCCCCGTTTAAGACCCTCAGGCCACGGGGCGGCCAACTGCAGCCGGACAGCAGCGTCCTTTCACAGGAAGACCGGAAAGCAAGGTCATTACCGAGGCCATAAAATCTGGTTCTTGCCTCACATCGAGCAGCGGCGGGGGCGGGGCAGGGTGGGGTGGGGGGTGGGGGGGGGGCGGGGGGGGGGCGCAGAGGCTGCGGGGGAAGCAGGCAGCCCCTCCTGCTCTGGAACGAGATTTCCCGCGGCCAGCCAGGCCCGGCCAGCCCAGCAGAGCCCCGGTCTCCTCCCGATAGGACGTGGGAGGGGCGCCAGGAGGCCCCGCAGACCCTGCTCTGTGCTGGCCGCCCCCCAGTGGGGACGCCATCCCCTTCCCACCAGGGGAGCCGGAGCTGGCGGACAGCGGCGGGATGAGACACGGGGGAGGGTCGCCCTGGCTTCGGGGGAGAGCAGCCGGGGGTTCCAGTTTAAAGCAAAGAAAGGAAAAAAGTGCCCGGGAAGTAGCTCTGGTCAGCGCCCACGGTCCCCGGCCCCCCAGGTGGGGACTGGCCCCCCACGCTCACCCACGGGCCACCGGCTCTCCGGTCTGACGCGCCGACCCGCCGGCCGGCGAGGGGGCGGGACCGCCTGCTGCCCGCGAGGGAACTGCGGAGCGAACACTAACGCTCGCGACGACAGCGGCCCTGGGAACCCACGTGTCGTTGGGGGCGGCAGGTGCCCTACGAGGGGCCAAACCCCCGTGCTGGACGGGCAGCCCCTCCTGCAGCCCCAGCCTCGGGAGACCGGCCCGGAGAAACAGGCCTGCCTGCCGCCCCCCAGGGGCGCAGGTCCCAGGGTGGGCAGAAAGAAGGCAGGTGGGCAGCTCCTCAGCGACGGGCCGAGGGGCCGAGGGGCCGAGAAGGGCAGCACCCCAGGGGCTGCGTCCCGGCGCCCGGTGGGGAGAAGCATAGCGGACTGGGTGGGGGGGGGACCTGGGACGTGGCGTCACCAGGGCAGAGCCGGGGGCCCCGGGACGGGCCGCAGACGGGACACAGGCAGACGGACCGTTCCGGGCTCCAGTGCGGGGGTGGGGTGCGGTGGGGGGGTCCCCTGAGAGTGACGGGGGTGTGTGCGGAGCGTCCCCACAGGGCGAGGCGCCGGCTCGGTCTCCAAGGTGACTATCAGGATGGGCCCCGGGGGCTGAGGTCCAGGGAGAGCCGGGGTCGGGGGACAGAGGTGGGGGGGTCACCCACCAGGCCTTCGGGGTACATGCGGCTGGTAGGTGACATCGGCAACCTTGAGAACGGACGAGGTCGTCCTGGGGACCGCCAGGGGCAGCGGGGTGACCAGAAGAGCAGGCGTGGCCCCCGATGGGGCTGGTGCCCCGTCCGCAGGCAGGCGG